AATTTTTATTTGTATCTCCCTGATGATGAGTGATGTTGAGCATCTTTTCATGTGTCTGTTAGCCATCTGTGCATTGTCTTTGGAAAAATGGATACTGTTTAACTGAACTTTATAGAACACTAGTCAAGGAATTTCATTGGCTAAATAGAACTTCTTACGGAAATATTTTCTTTGCAAAAATTCACTGAACTTATAGAAAACTGGTCAAGGAATTAAGTTGGCTAGATAGTATTTGTTACAAAAATACTTTCTCGGCAAAAATTCCTCAGTATACTTTTGATTTAAGGGGTTTTTTTAATAGCTATTTTGCTTCAATATTATGGATATTATAGATATAGATATTATAGATATTTGCTTCAAGATATTTTGCAATTCAAAAAATAAATGAGGCTTGCAGTAAAAATGGCCTTCCTCCTAGATACTACAAAGTAAACATAAGATTACATGATCTTATTTGATCTCATGTATTTCTAAAATACCATTTGTGGGGTGCCAGGTGGTTCAGATGGTTGAGCATCCAACTCTTGATTTTGGCTCAGGTCATGAGATCGAGCCCCGAGTCAGGCTCCCCCTCAGCAGGGAGTCTGCTTTCTCTCTCTCTCTCTCTCTCTCTCTCTCTCTCCCTCTCCCCCCCTGGCCCCCTTTAAAATAAATCGTTAAAAAATAAAAGAAAAATACCATTTGTATTTGTACTGAATAGATGTAAGTAAGTAGATAGGAAAGGTATGTAACAAATTAAGTGTTGAGCACTGGAGAGCCGTCAGGCAGGGTGTATATAGAACTGAAACAGAGGACTTTGTGTTTTCTTGGACTCATTTGAATTTTTAACAGCACTAGGAAATTGTGCCCACCTTCTAGTGTCATACGTCGGCTTCAAGAGCTAGAGTGAAGAAGTAGTTACAGTAGGATGACTTTCTACTACTTCCTCCTTCGAGGTTGATCTCATTGCCCTTTGACCTTTCTCAGTTTGAAATTGTTCCTGAAGATGACCCCCAGAACGCCATTGTCACCTCTTCTGCAGATGCCTGTCACGCAGAACTGCTCAAGACCATAAGTGCTGCTCTGTAAGTTGAAGCTTGAAGACAGACAAGTCTAAAGAGATCCCCTTGTGGTACAGTGAGACGTTCTTGTGTTTAATGTCTGGAGAGCCCCCATCTATAGAAAGCTATCCTGCATCCTTTATATTTACCAGAAATCCTTTGGATTTCTCCAGAGTATCCAAGTCAAGAAAGTGTGTTCTCTGCATTCATACCCACAGTCCATTCCTAAACCCATTCTCCTCTCCCTCTCAACTTGTAAACTACAAATCCTTCCTCGCCTATTTAGGGGGAAACTAATGCCCAACCTGCTTCCGTCTGGAGCTGACTTTTTTGGGTTTTCTCATCCAACTATTCACAACCTGATCCAGAGTTGTCCAGGAGCTCGAAAATGCGTCAGGTAAGTGTGATCAAATCCATTCCCTTGAGAGAGCACTGTGACCGGCAGTTACTGCTTCGCTCGTTCTCACGCTTACTGAGCTGCCTCTGTGTGCAGAGCGTGCTTGCTCCATAGCCAGTGTGCCTCAGTGTTAGTCCTCAGCCTCAACTGAGCAGGAGCCAGCCCCCCACTGTACTAGAATTACCAGTGTCTGTGAGCACCATGACAGCAAAAGGGTTGCGAAGTCCTGCAGACACCGATCTTCTCTTACTTTGTTAATATGATTTTTAGGTATATATGGGAGAGACCTAGAGGAGAAAATACCTGCTCTCTCTGAAAGTAAGAATGGCTTATTACGGCTAACAGACACCCCTTACAATAATGCCCCTTGATCCTGCAGTTACCAGTGGGTGAAATTTGATGTGTGGAAACCCGGAGACGGGCAGCCACCCCAAGGGCTGCCAGAGAATGATGCAAGTGTAAGCTTCGAAGCCTTTCAGAGACAGGCCTTTGGTGAAGATCATAGCGATCCCATTCTGCCAGGTATCTCAACTTTACCTTCTGGTTTGAAAATGGACTGTTTTTAGGCCGCCCTCTGCTCTTCATTCAGAGTGGACTACTACAAATAGCTGGGCAGCAAGGGATAGAAACTCTGCTGCGCCGACCAGAGAGAGCCCCGGGCGCGAGGACGGGCTGGCTGGCCTGCCGGGCTCCCCAGCAGTGCTGGTGGCAGTCATGGGGAGTGGCTGCCATCGGGGTGAGGCGGGGCCCACGAAAAAATTAGGCTTTCTCTTTTTCTAACCTAAGTAAGACCCAGGCGGGGCTCCAGGGGAGAATCTACCATGCAGGACTGACATTTCAAATGAAGCGAAGGGGATCAGGTCATGGCCTTGGTCCCGCCTGTGTTTGGTGGATTCCCCACCACAAATGGGTGGCACCATCAGGGATCTGGCCTTGGGTGATACAGGGAGAACTCTGGACTGGAAATAATAGAATTAAAATTCTCACTCTCTCCCTCTAATATACTGTATAACCCTAGGCAAATCACGTAATCTATTTTGGCCACGGTTTTCTTTGTTGTAAAAGTTAAGTTTCTGTCCTGTGTTACCAAACAAGGGCAAGATTCGGCTGACAGACATTAAGGGTGTTAGGAATTGAAAGGACACCCGTGTGTCTTGATCAGTCCCCTGAGATTCCCAGGCAGCAGTGGAACTGAAGGAATTTTCTTCTCCAGGATCCTTGGACCTTCCAGAGCTTCAGCCCACACCCTTCGTGTCTTCTTACGAGCCCGTGTTCCTGACGCACGAACCCCTGGTGGACACTCACCTGCAGCACCTGAAGTCTCTGTCACAGTGTAGCCCGACTCCGTCTTCAGATTGAGCAGGAGGGGGTCGCATACCACGTCATTTAACTTAAAGTAAAACTCCAAATATGGAAGAAGACAGCAGTTCAGGAGCGAAGGACATACCAACACATTTTGTCATGGAGACTCCTGTGGTGACAGTGTTCCCTGGGAAAAACTTTAGCTGCTTTATTTTTAGCAATAAATTTCTCTTTACAAATCTGCTTATTTTCATCTTGTAATCAGGATTTTTTTTGCTTAGCCCTGCCTGAGGTAAACTTAGTGTTCTGTAAGCCCGAGTGAGAGAAGGCTGCCAACTCGGGAGGGAGAGGGAGGAGTCCGAAAGCCCTGCCCCTGGATTCTGCTCCTAGCTCCAGGAATGAAGTCCTGGTCCCAGCTACCCAAGAAGCTGCTCTGTTTTCATGTCGCTAGGATCACAGCCCGGTGCTACTTGTCCCCAAGCTGGAGAGGCCAGGCTGAGGCACGCCGTTCGTCTTTTCCTTCACACTTCACATTCTTCAAGGGAATCAAAAAGTCCTCTGTAGTCCTGTCTGCCCCCTTTGCTGTTCCTTATCCAAGAATGTGCTTGTTGCTGAATACACTGAGTGCACACGATAACAGAGATACAGCGTGACCGGGGGCGGCCCCCACCCCGCGCAGCAGGCTCACCCCATCACTTCACTAGCCGGCTAATAACATGACTGTAACCTATGCAACTGAATGTGTTGGCCCTGCTTATGGCGCCGAGGGGGAGCTTTCCCGCCTCGCCTGATCCGGACTGTAGAGCCGTGTGGGCTGCCCTCGCTGGCCGCCCAGCCAGGTACCCGGGCCGGCCGGAAGGAAGCCACGGAAGGACCCCAGAAGGGGAAAACCGGGGAAGGAGGGGTGACAGGCGTCGCTGTGCTGCAGTTCCTAGCTGCTGACTGGGGACAGCAAGACGGGGGATCTTGTTTCCCGGGAGTAGATGCGCTGGCGGAGGGAGGGTCGGACAGCCACGCTGCGAGCACAGCGCAGTGGCCACGGAAGTATCCGAAACTAAAGTCACCACTGTTAACTTTATGACTCTTAACTGTAGTCTTTTCATAAGTCTCTGTACCTTTTACAGTACAAAAAAATAAAATCGGGATAACAGCAAGCCAGGGGCTTAAAGGGGATGACTCAGAGCTGATAATGCTCTCTCATGTTTTCCTTTTCTCGCCGCCTAAGTTGGCTGGACACGCGCACTTGCACAGACGTGCCAGCCGCTTTCACACAGAGCCAGTGTCTTCCCCTTGTAGCACGGTCCGAGTGGAACACACCAAAACGAGCCTCATTTTAAGAAAGACGTTTTTTAAATAAGTTATCGTGCAGTTTGCTTTAATAAGAGTATTTACTTTGTAGCCTTCCTGGAGGACTGGTTTTCAAACTACAGATCTCTACCCATTGGTTGTTCCTAAACTTAGGGAGACAAGACCTCTATTTTTTAAATTAAACAATTATAACTTTCTACTTAGTAGAATGTGTCACATGTCCAAACGTTGAAATTTGGGTTTCAACTATAGTGTGTATATATGTATTTATGTAAAAATTACATGCATACACATGAAAGGGGTATGTGGAATAAATATAAAATGTTTTTACTGCAGATCATTTTTAAAAAACTTGAACCACCCCCTGCCAGTATACTTAAGACATCTTTTCATCTATTGGATTGTTAAAGATTTAAATCTGACAATATCCAGTGTCGGCGGGAGTGAGGCTAAATGCTGTATCTTGGTGGGCACTTTACCTTGGTGGGACTGTAAACCGTTGGACCCTTCAGGAGAGTTAATCTGTAGGTATCAAAATTTTAAACATACTTTCCTTAAAACTGTTATTCCACATTAAGGATCCTAAGGAGGTAAGTGCGCTATGATGTCTGCATGTAACATTCATCACAGTATTCGTTATAACGGAAAAATCAGAACAAACCTCTATGTCCACTAATGGAAAATTGGTTAAATAAAGTAGAGGGGGGGGCGCCTGGGTGGCTCAGTCGTTGAGCGTCTGCCTTCCGCTCGGGTCGTGATCCCGGAGTCCTGGGATCGAGCCCCGCGTCGGGCTCCCTTGCTCCGCGGGGAGCCTGCTTCTCCCTCTCCCACTCCCCCTGCTTGTGTTCCCTCTCTCGCTGTGTCTCTGTCAAATAAATAAAATCTTTAAAAAATAAATAAATAAATAAATAAAGTAGAGGGGTCCCACAAACTAAAACACTTACGCCATATTCAATTTACACAGGAAAATTATTTTACTAGAGTAAGTCAAAAACAGATTTAAAATAATATGACGTGTAGTGTGTAAAATACAACCCAAGCAAATCAAGCACATGTTTACCAAAATAGTAAATGTGTTTTGCCAAATGATGAATTCTGGGGTGATTCTTACTTGTTTATTCTTTTTGTTAGTGTCCAAATCTACAATAATTACAAATGTCATTTTTCAAATACTAAAAAGTTATTTTCATTTGGAAAATAAACTGAATTCCTGCAGAATGTTTTAAATTATTCAGCCATTAAAAATGAAGTTTCACAGGATTTCTCATTAATTTATCTACTACCTGAAGCTATTTTTCCCCCCATGCTGCACTTGGTTACTGGGGGAGGAAGGAGCCTGGGCATAGGGTTCCTGCCCATGTCCAGCCGCCTGCAAATTAGAACAGCCCCTGTGTGCACATATGTTGGCAGAGGGGAGGGTAGATTTACTTTTTCTCAGGAGTCTGTTCCTAGGTTCGTGGTTCCCCTTAGGTCAGAAGCATATGAGGTCAAAGTGTGGGTGTTGGGAGTTAATTGTACACTAGGAAGTCCTCAGAGGAGCCAAAGCTCCTTGCAGACTGCATAGCTGTGTTGGTTTTCTATGAAGTAAATCCTGGCACTGACCGTTCCGGATGCTCAGAGCTATACCGGGGCCCGCTGGGGTCAGGTGCTTCTTGTTTTAGTTCTTTTTCCCATTAAGGGAGTGGAAGCTACTCATGCTTCAAAGGACAATTTACAAACCTGTTCCTAACGCAGTTTTGATGGGCTCTAAATGTATACATGCCACTAATGATTATACTTTTATTTCCAAATTCCAATAGCTGACACAATTATCAAGTGCTGTTAGCTGTTTTTAATCAACCAATAAAGAGCATTGTGATTCTTAACAGTCCACCCAGAGCGCACTTTCACAATTGTCCCATCTGGATTCTTTTTCTAAATGCTTATCGTGGAGCTTTTTTTCAGCCTCTTTTTTCTTCCAGCTGGGTTATCCTTTTTATAAGTAAACCTCTTACCTTAAAAAGCCTGAGATTTATATTGAACCTGTTTGCTTCTCAGTGACCTCTGTTGCCATGTTGTCCGGAGCCTGACTCCCCCACCCGTCCCTGGCTGCCCTCGCACCTTCCTGGGCCGCTCCAGACGCCCCCATCTCCTGCTCCCTCAGGCAGCCCCTTCGCGCCCCCCACATGCCTGCACACGGGGCTGGTTGGTTTCGAACACTCACGTTATTATTTCTACCGAAGGGACAGAACCGTCTTGGGCTTGCGAGAGAACACAAAGAGGGCGAGAAAGAGTTAAGTTCCACATAAGGAAAAACTGTTGGGAAGTTTAGAAACTTTATGCAGAGATTCAGTTAACCACCCTCCAGATTCTGTAAAGAACACACAAATATGGGCCTTGAAATCTCTTCCAGCCATGAGTTTCCAAACGCTGGACGTAAGGTGACAAAAGTGTGACACTTCACACTCTCCACAAGGGAAGTGAATGACACTGAGGCTTCATTTGTTTGTGGCGGGAATTAGTCCAGTAAGACACTAGGCTGACGAGGGGACAAAAGGCAAGCATCTCGTTCGCCTCTCAGCACTGGCTCATCTCCTGTTCAGAATCTAGAAACAGCCATGTGTTGGCTGGGAGCCGGCCAGGGCGGCTTTTCTACCCGTCGCCTTTAAAAGCAGTAGTTGTCGTCATCACTTCAACACCGAAATGCCCACATCTAAAGGACCCACACTGACCCACCTGGTCCAGGAGAAGGACCGTAAGGCCACTACGTCATTCAGCAAGCCTGCGGTGCGCCCCCGGCCTCAGGTCTGTCAGGAAAGCCACGAAGGGAGGAGCCGGGAGGGCGCTGCCAGGGTGGTACAGGGGGCACTGCTTATATTCACAAGGCCACGTGGCCCAGGCGTAGCGCAGGGCGGCCGGGGTGCCACGGCAAGAACGGACGTTCAGGGCCAGGCTCTGGGCCGAGACCGTGTCCAGGGGAGCTGGCAGCCACTTGCACTGATGGTCACTGCAACATGAGATCTAATAAGAGAATCGTAACATCAGAACGGTGAGGCCAGTCAGGCCAGGCCAAGCCAAGAGACTGGGAGCTGCTCATTAGACGAGGGAGAGGAGGAGCCACGCTTAGCCCAGGATCCACTGCCTACGATAACCAGAACAAACCTGAGTCCATGCTGGGTTTGGTCAACACAGCCAAAGTGTGACGAGAAATGTCCAGGTGATAAAATCAATCATCAATCGGTAAACGAACCGCTCGATGACTGAGGGAGACAAGGAGGCAAAATCACATAGAGCCTTTAGAGAAGGCTCCCCTGAACGTCCTTGCTGTGATCCTTCCGACCAGATGGCAAAGCACGCGGGACCTGAGCCAGTGGGGCGGTCGGGCTGCTGTGAGCACTCTGGCCTCCCCGCGGAGCCACGGAACAAGGAAGGGGCACAAAGGGACCTTGGATAATAAGCCTTTCTCCAACCAGAAAGCAATCCAAGGAAGGGGACATAAATTATCCAGCGCCCACAGGTGAAATTCTGTCCTGCTCCCAACTATGGTTCCGGGTCCAGATGACAGGCAGACTGCCAGCAACTGACTACAGGGGAGAACCGAACTCAGCATGGAGACTTCTGGGGAGCTAGAATTACCTCAGACCCAGTGTCCAAAGAAGCTCAGGGCCGTAAGTGCTGCCCAAGCCCCTGAGGCCAGTGGATGTGATACTCGGGGCTCCAGAGGAGGGGCAGCCCTAGGTATAAACTCGGGTGTAATTCAGGTGTGTCTTTCATGTTCTTTCATTCCCTCCAGTGCCCTCTTCTCATACCCCACCCACCCCATCCAGCCTCATGGCCTCCTGGTTCCCAGAGACACCCGTCGGCATGTTGCAAGAGGAATGCCTCCCCCCGCACCCCCAACTGTGGAAGACCCCTACATAAGCTCTTTCATTATTAGCCCTAGTTCCACAGTGGAATGATCGTCACTAGGTACTAGAAGAAAGTAGTTTCATTACATTAATTCACACTGAGTTACAAATCCCCAAGCTAAGCCCCTCAAAGGAGACACTAAACTCAAAAGAATATCAGAATTTGGGATAGTGTGACATAAAAAGACATCCAATGATGAGGGAAATACTCGGGAGTAAGGAATCTTTCAGTAGGGAACCTATACATTAATTGCGGGCCCTCGCCAGAGCAAAGATGGTTGCTCTGGGAGTGAAAATACAAAAGAAGTATTTTAATTGTGAATTCCTTTCCTTGACTGTCCTATCAAAATTGCCACTAAGTGAAAGAATTAATAGCTACTCAGCCACCCTTCTGAGATAAACTCTGCCCTACTGAAAACCAAGCTCTGGGGGAGCCTGGGTGGCTCAGTCGTTAAGCATCTGCCTTCGGCTCAGGTCATGATCCCAGGGTCCTGGGATCGAGCACCACGTCGGCCTCCCTGCTCCATGGGAAGCCTGCTTCTCCCTCTCGCACTCCCCCTGCTTGGTTCCCTCTCTTGCTGTGTCTCTCTTTCTGTCAAATAAATAAAAATCTTTAAAACATAAAAAAATAAAATGAAATAAAAACCAAGTTCTGCCTCACAGAAATGTTACAATTAAAGAGATGGGCCTCAGTGTGGAGAAAACCCTGACTCCCCACACAGGATGAATGCCTACTGTTTCAACTATTCTTCTCACCTCAAATATATTGTGCTGCCTCTGCACCTGGATTTCCAGCGAATATGTGAGGTTGAGCAGCCCCTTGTCAGCCAAGAGTTCCATGTTCTCAGGCAGTGGTCCCTGAAAGATCAACTTCTCACCATAAGCCACAGCCCGGGCCCCCAAGTGCAGCCTGTAGGCCACCGTCTGTTTGTCTCGAGGGTGGATGCTACAGGACAAAGAACAAGTAGAGAACTTTGGGTTTGAGCTCAACAGTAACCACACTTTAAAAAAAAAGGGGGGGGGATTATACAAAGCACCTTTTAGGAAGGTAAGAATAAAATTGACTGAATCTAATAGCCAGTGATCAGTGGCTCATCAGTTTAGGAGACATGGTGAATGGTGACCATAAATGGGGCTCTGGGCCTTCCATGGGTTAGAAACCTTGAAAAAGCAGATGACTTCAAAGGAAGGAATAAAGGTCCCTGCAGGAGGGAGGAAAGGCACTGGAGGAGAGCTAAACTCAAAATTATTTGAGCCACTGAAAGCACTCTGTTTCATCTGAATCCATTGTTCATTACTGGGTCCCCTCCAGGTTTTATTCATTCAATCAATCAATCTTCATTTGTTCAAAAATAAGTATCTGTTCAAGTTCCTACTATAAACCAGACACTACGTGTTGGGCCCCATTTCATTGCCAATCCCACTCGCATCCCACAGCTAGTGTGCAGTGGTCACTGGGGCCATTCAGAGAGCCCATTCCTCCCTGAGCTCAGGGAAGGGTCCCATTTCCTGCTCACACTGAAGCCCCGCAGAGCCCTATGACCTGTTGTGGCCAATGCAATGTGAGCAGAAGTTACTTCCATCACCAGGGGGAGACGTGAAGGTGAGGGAAGCACGGATCAACGTGGAATTTCCGTCACTCCAGATCTGTGAATGACTCTAATGAGCAAAGCCTCTCCGATGAACTCTGTGGACCTTCTTTGGACATGTGGGGTGAACAAGAAATAATATGTTGCTGCATCAAGCATTGAGACGTTGAGGGTTTTAGTTACTGCAGGACATGCCAGTGTAAATGATTAAGAGACACTGCCCCGAAGGTCCAGTCCTTAGAGCACCCACTCTCTGCCCCTCACAAGTGAACATCAGAGTGAAGGCTACGGACAAAGAACAGATAGTATTGTTCAAGCAAAGCCCAAGAAGCACCCATACCTGCCAAAAGGTGACTTCCTATCACAGAGATCCATTGCTACCGCCATGAAAGTGCTGGGCATCCTTGCGTTGGGGACATAGCCAAAGTCTGCTGTTTGATGCCAACGGATCTGGGGAAATGTGTCATCTGAGGTTGCAGACAGATATGAAGACAACTGGAAAGTAGAGAATGTTGCATCAGAATCCTATCCTGGAGTCTTCTTCAGAAGCAGATTCTGCTTCTGCTTCTTTCATTCATTCAAATGCCCATTTGACAAGTACTCAGTGAGCTTCTTACTGTTGTGGCTGAACACCCCTCACCCCACATGCCAGTGTGTCTGTGCCACCCCTCTCGTCAAGAGGTGGAGTCTATTTCTCCTTCCACTGAATCTGGGCTAAGCCTGTGATGTTCTCTGACCAGCAAAATGCAGTAGAAGTGATGTGTGGCTTCTGAGCCATTGCCCCAAGTGCCCCTGCCTTCGGATTTCATTCTCTTGGAACCTGGAGATGGCCAGGTAAAAACAGTCCAGCTACCCTGCTGGAGAACTTACCTGGAGACGGGGGCCTTGGACATTGAAAGATCCTTAGGAGAGAGAGGGGCTAATGTCCCCGTGGGCTCAGCCGAGGGGCCAGTCACATGAACACTCAAGCCTTCAGTTCAAATTGCAGCCACGTGAGCAAGCCAGGCTGATGTCACACGGAGCAGAGCTGAGCCATCCCAGTTGAGCCCTGCCTGGCTGACCCATGGCATCATGAACAAATACAACGGCTGACATTTTAAAGCCACTAAGTTTTGGGGTTGTTTGTTACAAAGCAACAGGTAACTGATACATCTATCTATAACATGTTTAAGTACTATAGGGAAGCTGAGAGAAATCTGCCCATGAGCATGTGGCAAACTGCATCAAAGACCCCAATTCTTCACCCCTTCCTTCATCCACACTTTCCTGCCGTCTGGCTTTGTGGTTTCTCCCAGGAGGAGAAAGAGTGTATTTCCCCACCACTTTCTAAGGTGGTTTGTTTTGGTCAAAAACCTGAAACAGAAGTTACGGCACATCAGTTCCTAGCCTCGGCCTCCAAAGACCTGTGTGGTTCCACTTGCTCTTTCACATTTCTGCTGTCAGGAGAATGGCATGCCTTGGCTAGCCCACCACTCTCTGCAGAAGGATGAGCGCTGTGGGACGGAGCTTCCTCATCTAACCTACTCCAGCCAAGCCCAAGTGAGAGCCCCCACCTGCCTCTGACCCACAGAGATATGAAAGAGTTCAGTGGAGCTCAGCCAAGATCAACCAGCCCCCAGCTACCCACACATGTGAGCTATGATAAATGTTATGTTAAGCCACGGAGTTTTGAGGCAATCTGTTACATAGCGGCAGCGAACTGGTACAAGTACTTCACGGCTTTGTTGAGGGGACAGACCTGTACATAAGAAATGTTAAGAAACAGTAATATAAAATAGCATGGATTAAGTGCTACGTCAGAGGCACAGACAGCAAGTACTCTGCATTAGAACAACGTTTATTATTATAAGACAACAGGGCCTCAGAATATGTAAAAAATAAATAAATAGATAAATAAATAAATAAATAAATAAATAAATGGGATGGGCCCAGAAAATACAAGCAGTCACTACAAACAGGATATGTTAGACTCTTGTAATATGCAAAGGTAAGAAAGAGAAAGGCAATTGTGAAAGCGAGAGAGAGAGCAGTCGAGCTGAACTGGAGGGTTTATGTAGGAAAGACCATGTTGTTAAGACAGTGAGGCAATGTTCAGAGTTCATACTTTACCCGCAAGCAACAGGGAATCACTAGAGAGGATGGCTGCAGGACACTGTGACGGACTAATGCCACCGAACCGAATGCTTTAAAATGGTTAATTTTATGTGAATTTAAGCTCAATTTAGAAATTAGAGAGCCACCGAAATTGACATGATCAAAGGATTAATCTAGTGATCATGCAAATGATTCTGTGAAGAGCCCGACAGCAGAAAGGCTGATCGGTTCAACAGCGATGAGAACATTCTAGACCAATAAGAGAAAAGCCTGACACAGGAGAGCAGCAGGAATGTGATGGGCAGGAATAAGATCACCTAAAAGACAAAAGGACAGAAGCAGGTCGGCACCTGGATAGGGGATGGAAGTCAGGGAAGAATTATAAGAGGGTAGAGACGTCAGAGGCTCTCTCCTGCTGGCCTTCAGGAAGTCAGCTGCCCTGAGTTCTAGAGTTTCAAGGAAACGAATTCCACCAACAGCCACCTGGGCTTGGAAGATAACCCCAAGCCTCAGCTGAGACCCCAGCTCTGTCCAACACCTTCACTGCAGCCCCGAGTGGAAGACTCAGCTAAGCCGGGCATGCCAGACTCGTCACCCACACAAACCGTGAGATAAGAAATGTGTGTAGCATTGTTTTAAGCTGCTCAATATGCAGTAATTTTTTATGCAGCAACAGAAAACTAATATACCAGGGAAAGAACTTTCCAGGCAGAAGGAAAGGAAAATGGCCGGCCGTAGGGCAGAGTATGCCCGGTGTGTAAGTTAAGACCGTAAGGCAGCCAGCAGAGCTGACGTGGAGCGAGCGAGGCAGAGTTAGGACAGGAGGTCAGACGGGCCCTGGCGGCAGGGGCAGACCACGTGTCACTTTGCTGACCTCGCTCATGTGGAGGAACCCCTGGAGCCTTCTGATGTGGCTTACACTTCAAAGGATCACTTTAACTGCAATGCTGAGACTATCCTAAAGGGGAGAAGAGGTAGAAGCAGGAAGACCAGTAAGGAGGCAACACTTCAAGGCAAAGAAGATGGTGCCTCAGAGCAGTGCAGGAGCGGCAAAGATGGTAGGAGGCTGTCTGACTCTGCAACATCCTCAGTAAACACTTCCATCTAGACTTAAAATCGACAGACTCCTACTCCTGCAGAGGAGAGGCTCCCAGGAAAACTCTAATATGACTCTGACGCGTGTGGTCCCACTCTTCCTCCCTTACTTCCCTGGTATTTATATCACCCCGTTCTCTGATTTAGACTACACATCATTCTTAGCCCCAGTCCAGCCACTGAGAGGCATCAACCCATTATCCCTCTCTCACAGCCATGATCTAACAGTAAGCCAGGCCACAAGCTGGGGAACAGTCCGGACGAGCAACCACACTGTCTTTGGACGCCATTTGAAAATTTCTGTCCCCATGAGAGGAGCTACATCGTGAAGAGGCTGCTCCCCGCAGCCTTCTCACCGCCCCCGAGCCAGCAAATACCTGGGATCATCCCGACAAATGTGGCCAAATGAAGCTTTGAGCACAGGAAGTTTTCTGCTTCTTGACCTGTTCCAGAAAGACTAGAAAATCCTCAGGAAAAACTGGAGAGGTTGCAGTGGTAGTAAAAAGGACGTGATCTGGAACTAAGGGGACTTTTCCAGTTCTCTTATTAAAACCTCTTAGGCAAATCTGCTGGAACATATGAAATGATAAAAGGTGCTGAAGCTTCACAAAGGAGCTTCGTGAAAGGACCCAGTGAGTGACCCTACTTCTTCCCACACAACACCCGGAAGACTGAGAGCGGAACACTGGTCACCAGCCAGTGTCATGATGAGGATCACAGCAACGAAGCTACCAGACAGAGTCTAGGGTAAGTACTAGCCTGAAGCACAAGCGGGAGAAATGCTAAATACAGTCACTCCAGCCAAGGAAGTTGTTCCAAAATGGCAGAGTGGGGAGAAGTCCTGCAGCAATTGGCCGGTTTCATTGCTTGCACTACTCCAGAGCGGCCACACGGAGGCGCCAGCATACCCCATACCCAAATGAAATTCTTGTTTTCCCTGATCTGAGATCTGCTAGGGTGCTGTTCAGCCTCCCACAGTGATTAGTAGAAATACTGCTCCTAATGAAGGCATATGATTGCCACAGAATATAAAAATGGCCACACTCAGAGGACTTTACAATAGCATACTGCACTTCGCAGTCCGCTCCACTGTTCCTCCAGACCCTTTGTACAAAATGCATACTCCTAGGGACTCCCTAGCCTCTTCTTCCTTCCCTCCCACGCTCCAGGTCACCTCCCTACTAATAACCCTCGGATACTTGTGTCTAACTCCGCTGAGCTCAGTCCTACATGTCTAGCTGTGTGCTCTAGCGATTGCAACCATCATTTCAAACTCAACACCACCTCTATAAATTCATCTTTCCTTGCAGACCAACTGTCCCTCCAGATTTTCTGACTTCTCACATTGATAGTAATTAATACTAACATTACCTGGCATGTGCCAGGCTTTATATGGATCAACTCACGTAATACTTAAAATAACAAAGATATAAAAAATAATACTTCAAATAATAATCCCCCTATTCAATATCTGGTTCAAAATCACATAGCTAGGGGCGCCTGGGTGGCTCAGCCAGTTAAACATTTGCCTTCGGCTCAAGTCATGATCCCGGGGTCCTGGGACTGAGTCCCGCATCACGCTCCTTGCTCAGCAGGGAGCCTGCTTCTCCCTCACCCGCTCCCCCTGCTTCTGCTCTGTCTCTGTCAAATAAATAAATAAAATATTTTTTTCAAAAATCACATAGCTAGAGAAGAGTCAGAGCTGGATTTGAATCCAGGCAGATTAGCTCCAGATCCATGTGCTGAACCGTTATTTTGTCATATTTGATATTTCCCTTTGAAGGTATATGTTTGCATTCCCAGTTTTCCACAAGCAACCAACAGCTTTTTGTCGATGATGACCAGCTGAAGCCGTGAGACTAAGGGACTTAGTCTCACTAAATGGAAAGGCGTAAGTGCAAAGACCAGGTCTCTCTGATTCATGCTCTATTTCTAGCACCTCACACAATTCATGGCATATAAGCATACAGCACATGGTTGGAATTGGCTGAAGTCACATTCAAATCACCATCTACACAGCAAAGACAAAAAAAGAACCTCAAAAGTCCAAATGGGGTTTCCACCAACAGAAACACAGAACTGATGACAGGGCTTGCTATTTTGATAATAGTAGAATCATCTTGTTTCCAAGTCAAAACAAATGTGAGAAAGGAGAAAGAACATGGTTGTAAAGTAATTGTAAGTGGAGAAAAGGTCTATAAAAATCTTTATCCAAAACAAGGTATGGTGAACTAAGACAGGGTGGGGGAGATGTGAGGACGGTGAGTGGGAGGCACCTGGGGACCATGCAGAGCCAGACAGCTGGACGCATGTGGTCCCATTCAAGTATTAAAGCCGATTCCGTTATTATGCTGGGAGTCGGGCCCCGGTTTTCTAACACCTTACTTGTTTTATTTCCTATATTCCAGGCAAGTCAGAACGACCACCCTTCTAGGATGTCTAGGTCTTGGAGGGGCCATAGGAACAGGTAAGGCAACACCATTATGAACTTGGTTAAATGCATTTATTCCTTTTCAGCAAGGAGGAGAGCAGAATCTTCCCGACTAGTTGCCGCTAATTAAAAGTATGATTTCTCTTGATATTTTTTTTCATTCATGTGCTAGGCCATATTTAATGACTGCCACGCAGTTAGGTACAGGGATGTAAATGTGATCCAGAAAAATGTGGTCATGTGCGCAACCGACACGCAAGTAACATGGGGAAGGAGAGGGTGCTAAGAAATCATCTGTCTGGGGAAAGGAGGTACCTACCCCAGATGTTGAATACTCACAGAAGGCTTCCTAACCTGATAGCCAGGCTGAGGTCTAAAGGGTGAAGTTGGCTAGGAAAGTGTGGGAGAGTAAGGTTGCTCCAGGCAAAGAACGCATGCGGTGGGCAGGCAGTGAGAGAACAAAGCTTCACTGTAGAGGGGCAGAAGGGGCAGCACTGAGTTAGGGAAGGTGTGGGGAAGTGGACATTCTCACACATAGCTGAGTATACAATTAATCCAAATTAATACATTTCTACAGAGAAACTTGAGGACATGTTCAACACCTTAAAAAGCGTTCCATTTGACCTAGCAATTTCATTTCTGGGAATTTATCTTATGGAAAGAATCAAGCACGTATGCAATGACTTAGCCACAAGGAAAATAAACATGCTGCTACTTATAAAAGCAAGATGTTTAAAGCAACCTAAGGGCCCATTTACTGAGAACTAGTTAAATAAATTAGAATACAACCAGATTTCAAAGTGCCCTGCAATCGTTATGAGTTGTGCTCAAGATTAATATTTATTGGCATGAAAAACTGTTCACAATATGACATTAAGAGCAGAAACAAGCTATGGTACAGTATTATGGTATGGATCTCATTGCAGAAACACATAAGCAGAAGAGGTCAGCTTATGTGAGGATTGGGGAATTAGAAATGTTTCAGCTTCTTTTGCTTATCTTTTAAATATCTTTACTGAACATGTATTCTTTTTTTAATAAGAAGTATTAGTCACTTATTAACCTTTTTTTGCAGATGTACTTGTCCCATCAGTGAACTGAGAGGAATTAAGTCTGACACTCAGTTCTCGACCAGCAGACTATGAGGGCACAAAAAGGAATATGGATTCCACGAAAAAGACCTCCACAGCACACCCCCACACCAATGCCCCAAACCTTCTTCCTCCCAACACATACCTGGACAAATCCAAACGGGAAGAAACGCTCTGTCTGCCCCTGGGAGCCACGGTGGAAGGTCTGGCGCCAGTCTTCAATGAGCGCAGGGAACGTGCAATTATACAGGTCCCTGTTAAAATTCACGTTGGACTCCCCTAAAAACAGTCCAGATTGTGAGAGGGGCTTGGGGTCGATGCAAACACGGCCGCACATTGCTCCCCAACCGCCATCCATGCCCTTAGGGAGTGGGCCTTCCTGCAGTCTCTCTAGACTGGCCTTGTGACCTGCTCTGGCCAAAGGGGCCTCAGCAAACGGTATGCAAGCAGAGGCTTCAAAAGTGCTTCAGCTTTGGGCTTCACTCAGACACTGCTGAGTGAATGCTATGAGACTGAGATTAACACTGCTATGTCAATGACAAAGAAGTCTGAACTAATTTGCTCAAGGCTGAGAGGCCACTTGAGACCATGGTGCCCCAGCAGTCAACAGACAGGAGGGAGAGGCCATCCTAGGTCATCCAGCCACCAGACACCTGCCAAGTGGCCAAAGACACATCAGAGATCCCAAGAGAAATTAACCAAAGCAGTCTATACAGGAAAACTACCCTAATAACCCGCCGAATGGTGAGCCAAATAAAATTATTATTGTTTTAAGTTGCTCGGTTCTGGGGTGGTTTGTTATGTAGCAAAAGCTAACTGATACAAAAGAGAAATAGCAAAATGAGCACTCACCCTGGTACCAGATCACCCCTTTCAGAGTCATGTTATGCAGTGGATGGATCATGGCATTCCAGAGAACAGAGTACTTACTGGGACCAGTCACAAAATCAGACTGAATCAACCTGCAATTGATAAGATTCACAAGTGTCACGAGAGAGCTAGTGACCAATCACAGGATGATCCCGAAACTGGGTGTCTATCCAGCTTTCACTTGGGGTAAACTTCTGATGAAAGCAACACAGAATCAAACTGAACCACTCTGTTTCACATGAAAACACCTGAACAGCCTACAACTTTCATATCTGTCCAGGTTCTTCCTGGGATAAGGGTATCAGTCAGCTTTCTATGAGTCCAGAGGGGGCCATCCCAGTTTCCAGATAAGGTCACTAAAACCAGAGGGGAGGAGTGTTTTATTATGAGTATCTCATGCAGACAATTTATTTAACTAGTACTCAGTGGATGGATACTTGGATTTTTTTTTAGCTTTCTGCTTATCTTCCTTATACCTAAAATCACTGCATATATGCTTAATTATGTCCTTAAGATAAATTCCCAGAAATGAAACTGCTGGGTCAAAGGGCATATTTTTTCAAGGCTTTGAACACATTCCTAAAGTTCTCTGTAAAATGCATATATGAGTTTATACTCATGACAGCTCTATATGAGAATGCCCACTTCCCCACACACTCGGTGGCGTCCCTTCCTGTCCCCAGAGATCTGGGAAGTCTGGCTTTACATCCCTCCCACTCTACCCAGGCCATTCTCTTAGTTCCAAAGCTGAACATCTCCCCTTCCCTACAGGCATGTCTTTACCTGAGCTATACCAAGAGCTCAAGTCCATCCTCTCCCCAGGGGCCTTCCCAGATTGAATGAAACAATGTCTGTGAAAGCAGTTCACATACTGTTAATCTCTGTGTTAATATTAGTGTCACGATTTTATTAACTACTCCTTTCTCCCCCACTCCACATATTCTTCCAGATCCAGCTTTTCCTGATTGTGCCTTCATAATCAGAATTTCATAATCAAATAAATTTCTTTGATTACATGTGTATTTGTTCTTCCTGTTAGACTGTTTATTCTTATGGGCAATACAGCACAGTGGTTGAGAGCACAGACATTGAAGCCAGACTTTGCCCCTTACCAGTTTACCCATGGGCGAGTTACTAAACCACTCTGAGACTTAGCAGCTTTATCCACATATTATTTGTGTTAATAGTATCTACACTTCTAGAGGTTGTTGGGAGTACTAAGTGAATTAATAAATATAAAGTGATTACAACAGTATCCAACATAGAGAAAGCTTTCAGTAAGTATTAGCTATTACTATTATTAAGGAAAAGGATCATAATTGCTTCTTGACATATTCTCAGATGAGCATGGTGCTGATGACAGTGAAAATAACACGTTACATGTTCGTGCAATAATACATACGTTCAATACCTATTTGGACATTCAACAAATATTTGACTCCCCAGAGAAAACCATGATCCTTCTCTCTTACAAAATTTCCTGGATCCTTCTCCCAGACTTCAGGATACTTTCTCACCCTCGCGTCAGAACACCACAGGCTCTCAGCGACCTTCCAGATGACCAGGCTTCAATGGGTGTCCCAGCCCACGAGGAGGAGATCAGCCCGATGGGGTACTGCAGAGTGTCATACAGGTAACGCCCAAAGAGCCAGCACACTGCTGACATGTACGTGAAAATTCCATGGCCTAAGTTCTCTGTTGAGGAAAAGTTAAACAAAAGAAGTCAGAAACACGGTAGTTCTACTGCATGTAAGTCACTGGCCCGGCACTTTGACCCAAACTCAATACATTTCCAGCACTCAAAAAGTTGACAGTGTAATACTGGGAATTCCAATCAATTTCGAATGAGATAAAACTGACTAGCACCTTCTAGGTGCCAGGCCCTTCTAGATAGTTGGGATACAGTAAACAAAGAGATACGGAGGCTGTCCTCATAGCTCTTATATTCTGCAGAATAAGCCAAACATTCAGCTGAATAAAATATACAGCAAAATATGGTTAAGTGCCTCAAGAGGTACAAACAAGTGCTAAGGGGTTTCAACAGCAAGAGAAAGAAGAGCAAATGAAAGGCACATCACAAAAAGCCTAATAAGACCTACCCCTCTCCCCTGTGCTTCCATAATACTCTATGCATAGTGTTTCCCTTACCCTTGGAGTATTAGCTTCTCCAAGGCAGGAACCTTATCTTCTTCCCTTCTGGATCCCCAATGTCTAGTACCTAACAGAGAGTCAGTAAATGTTCCTTGGCTGGTGTCTGGTGGCTGTGGGTAGCTGGTATAAAGGCAGATCCACTGATGGGCAGGGAGAAGGAAAAGGTAAATGAGGGGGAGGGGGAGAGAGGTGGGGGATGAAGAGCTGGTATTCTGGGCAGAAGAAACAATATGTAAAAAGGCACACAGAGTAGGAAAACTGTTGAAAGGATTTGATTAGAGGCTAGACCATAAAAGGAGAACAGTGGAAGATAAGACAGGAGAGTAATCACATCTTGGAAGAAAGAAAGCAGAAAGCCACAAAGCCACTTGAAAATGCTCGGGGACGCGAATGTGTGGCAGGCAGAACAACCCTCCAAAGATGCCCACACTCCAAGGCCTGCAGTCTGTGGCTGTGTTACCTTATGTGGTTATGGCGCTTTGTAGGTGTGACTGGGGTTGAGGACCTTGAGACGGGGAGACTGCCCTGAATTATCCAGGTGGCTCCCATCTAATCATGAGTCCTTAGTATCAGAGAACCTTCCCAGCTGCAGTCAGAGAGATGTGACAACAGTAGGAGAGGTGGCAGAAATTTGGAATATAAGAGCGGCCTGACCGACTGTGCTCTTCCCCAGTACCTGCACTGCCTCTCCTTTCTCTGTTGGGACCTCCATGGCTGCTCTCCACTAGAAACCACAACCCCATCCCAGCCCCAACAGTCCTACTGCACCCCCTTCCCTGATGTATTTCATTTATGTGTCTTTGTCTCATTAGTTTGCTCACCATCTACCCTATCCCTTCATACCCAAAAATGTATTCGGTCTCCAAGTTTAGAGTGAAAAGTCTGCTGATAGCAAGGTAAAATATATTATCCAAATCTAACTGATTCCTGAGTTTTGGATAACACATAGGGAAAGTTCATAGACCAAAAGATTTATCCAAAAATTTACCCAAATCGATTCAGTTCCTGAGTTCTCATAGGGAGAATTCAGATAGTGTGATACTGAGTAGTATCAGACACTGTATACAATGTACTGATTTTATTATTCACTTGCTATAATCCCCCACACTAGCATGCAAGCTCCATGAGATCAGGTGTTCTTGCCTGTCTTATCCACTGCCATCCCCGAAGCACTCAGAACAGTGCTTAGCACACAGCAGGTTCTCAAATATTTGTTGAATGAATTAACACTTGAAAATGTGGGAGCACACAGGAAATGACAGATGTTGACAAGGATGCAGAGAAAGGGGAACCCTCCTACACTGTTGGTGGGAATGCAAACTGATGTAGCCACTCTGGAAAACAGTATGGAGGTTCCTCAAAACGTTGAAAATAGAGCTACCCTATGACCCAGCAATTGCACTACTAGGGATTTACCCCAAAGATACAGATGTAGTGATCTGAAGGGGCACCTGCACCCTAATGTTTATAGCAGCAATGTCCACAAGAGCCAAATAATGGAAAGAGCCCAGATGTCCAATGACTGATGAATGGACAAAGAAGTGTGGTGTATACACACACACACACACACACACACACACAATGGACTGTTACTCAGCCATCAAAAAAAAAATGAAATCTTGCCATCTGCAACAATGCAGACAGAACTAGAGGTTATTATTCTAAGTGAAGTAAGTCAATTAGAGAAAGACAATTACCATATGATCTCACTCATATGTGGAATTAAAGAAACAAAACAGAGGCGCATAGGGGAAGGGAGTGAAAAATAAAACAAGAGGAAACCAGAGAGGGAAACAAACCATAAGAGACTCTTAATCACAGGAAACAAACTGAGGGTGGTTGGAAGGGAGGGGGGGGGGGGGGGGTGGCTGAGGGATGGACACTAAGGAGGGCACGGGATGTCATGAGCACTGCGTGTTGTACGCAACTGATGAATCTCTGAACTCTACCTCTGCAACTAATGATACACTATATGTTAATTAATTGAATTTAAAAAAAAAGAAAATGTGGGAGCAGAGGTTAGCAAAGTAAAGCAGGTATGACAAAAAAAGAAAAGGGACGAGAAAAAGCATGAGGGACCACATTTGGAGGGAGAGAGAGAAGAAAGCAAAGGGAAAGAGAGAGAAGCCAGAGGAGGAAAACTAGGGAGACGGGATACCATGCAAGTGAAGAGGAGTGTGCAGTTTCTTTTTTTTTTTTTAAGATTTATTTATTTTAGAGAAAGAAAAAGAGAGCAAGAGAGTAGGAGGAGGGGCAAAGGGAGAGGGAGAGTCCCAAGCAGACTCCCCACTAAGCACAGAGCTCAACAAGGGGCTCAATTCCAGGACCCTGAGATCATGACCTGAGCCAAAATCAGGAGTCGGATGTTCAACTGACTGAGCCACCCAGGCGCCCCCGGAACATGCAGTTCCTAAAAGCTGCGGTCAGCGGTGTCAAATGCTAGAGTGTCTGGAATGCGTAACTGGAAGAACAGCAGTAGCCTTGAGGTGAGCGAGTTGTTGAGGCGGAAGCGGAAGCCAAATTACAAAGAATGAACACATGGAAAGGCAGTGGAAAGAATGAGAAAAAAAGATGTCCTAGAAAAGCTTAAGAAAGCAAAGGAGAGAGGTGAGGCATCCTGAGAAGGGTGTTTATTATGTACGGTTTTCCTTTGTTTTGTCAGAATAAAAGGAAGGCGAAATCTGAGAGCAGGGCCTGTGTCTGCACTGCTCACTGCTGTATCTTTGGGGCCCAGCACAAAGCCTAACAGAGAATAGGCAGGAAATAAGGATTCTGTGCTGAATGGACAAGGGCGTGAAAGACCAGAGCTCAAGGGGTAAAAGAAGGCCACGGAGGGGGTGAGCACCCGCATCAGAGGCAGCCCTGAAAGGACCCCAGTCCGTTGTGTTCAGACACAGAAACAAAGGAAGGGAGAGAAAAGGAGAAGAGCATTGAGGCAGTGGGGAGAGATGCCAGCAGAGCTCATGCTGAAGGGCCTCAGTGTGTTCAGCGAAGCTCAAGGAAGGGCCTCAGTGTGTTCAGCGAAGCTCAAGGAAGCATCACCTGCTCAGAGCAAGGCGGGGGAGAGTCAATGGGGGAATCTTGGGAGGAAACATGAAATGACTACCATCAGAAATCAGGTGGAAAGTCAACAAGAAATGAGTAAAGGGATGGTTAAATCATAATAAATAGATCAGAAGCAAACCCAGGATTACAGATTCCACCTAGGGCTCTGACCCATTATGTAGGTCCTGGCACATGTTCCAGCGATCCCTTACCTGAGGTGGGCTTAGCCCACTGCAAGTCAACCTGAGCAAGGTCCTCCAGCTCCTGCTCTGCCTGAATGAGTGACACGGAGAAGATGCGGACAGACTGATAGGCCGCGGTGTTAGCCAGCTCTTTTGTGGCATTGAATACCTAGGAAAGAAACAGGAATGTCATTTCTTACACCCACCTAGTGGGTGGTCAACCATCCTACTACCTCTTAGTAAACACTGCCACTCTTCCAAGCTCCTTCTGAGCCTTCATATACCAAGACTGATCAAATAAATAACCAAAACCAGTGATGGGCTGGTCTGAGTCACCTTGATGCATCTTGATGAACTGAAACCATGAGGAATCATGTCCCCAAAGAAAGGAGAACACAGTGAAATTTGAGATCTCAAAGAGTAAGTCTGAATTAGATGAGGTTTAGGCTGAAGAAGATCAACTATCAGTTAGACCACTGTAATATCTTAAAACTAAAATATTTTTATTCAGAAAAGGTATCTCATAACATAAAACCATAGCATTAAATTCTTTTCAAAATGGAACCCAAAAGGCCAGGAGGAGGTAGATTTTGTGTAATCCACAGCCCATAAGAGAGGTATCTTCAAAAGGAACACACCTGAGAAATGACTGTAGAAGTATTGAAACATACTGAAATGTCTCACATGCTTAAATTCTCATCTCATCCTGGCAAATCACCAAGAAAAGCATGGGAGGCATGGCAGTTTGAAAGGTGGCGTTCGGTGTGAGTGCTGAGAGCAGTCCCAAGGAACCAGACAAAGAAAAGTGTCCCCTCCAAAGACATCGTTTTTTCCCCAAATGCCTTTACGAAACCTCATCAGTTGCCAAGAGTATGACAGGAATGGCTTGGAGCTTTTCTGGATGAGAACGAGTTCTACTGAGTAGCTTCGTTGTTAGTCATTCCTCTGTGAGCTTGCACAAAAGTGCTATTTCCTTCCATCCTGATTTTCCAGTTAGGTTTTTTGTTTTTTGTTTTTTACAAAGAACGTATTGTAAATATACTGTTTTGGTTTGTCATGTGTAGTGTGTTTGTTTTTTCTTGTCTTCTCTCTCTCCCCCTTGGATTGGTCTGGTTTTCCCCAAACAAAGGGCCAGCAGGAGCATCAGGAAGCCCAGTGATCACTGGCCTCAGGGAACGCGAGCCCCAGCTGACAGGACCGCCCCAGCGAGAGGCACAGGCGGCTGGAGACTTTCCACTGGCCGCAGGCCACAGAGCGTGCAGCTGGCCCCCTCTCCCTCCCACCCAGCACGGGGAACACAGCTGGTCCTCCAGCCCCCAGTGCGAGAGAAACCGCCGCCGAGCAGCCGACTGCCCCCACGGGGCATTTCGCTGAAACAGGGCTGCCCCTCCAATCGCCTTCCGACTGGCCACGGAGCCTGCTGTGGCCAAGAAGACGGCCAGCCGCAAACGAAATGTGCCTCGGGGTCTCCCGGGGAAGCCACGGCCGGAAGTGCCCCCTGCGTAACAGCCGCTCTAGCCGGTCAGGGCCACCGGTCTCCCCGCTAGCGGGACAGACGTGACAGCCGGTCTCGGGAAAATTCCATAGGAAATCCAGACCTGTTTGTTCAGTCTTGCCTGGCAAGCGTACTGTAAAATAAACAGTAAAGAGTACAAACAGGCTCAAGCGCTCACAGTCTAATCTGGCAGGAAAACTATTTTTCAGCAGCAAGTACCTGTAAAAAGTCACCTCCCTTGAAATCCGCTCTGCTCTCAGCGCCGCGGATCTTACGTTGCTGCCATGGAAACGGGGGTGAAACTGCCTCTCGCCTCTCCACCCACACCGGCTTCCGCACTGACTGCGAACTCAAGTGCCTCCTCGCAGTGAGCTGCCGGCGTGGGGAGACGGTAGGGGCGAACCAGCTACTTGTGGTGTAGACGGCTGCTAGCCCTGCAGAGCGGCGCACAGCCGCCAGGGTCGGGGGGGGCCGGCATCCTCCTACACTACAGCAAGTTGGGGAACTGGATCCCCAACCCTGGCTGGGAAAAACTTCCATTCTCAAACTCACATTTGTGTACTATATCAAGCCCAAAACTCGAAAGCCACAGCAAGTGTTAAAAATGGGGCTGGGGGTGGGTGGGGAGGGGGGAATTCTGGCTCTACCTGATGACAATTACTTCTGAAATTGGTACCCTTTCCCAATATCCCCAAGCCTTCTTGATGGAAGCATTTCCTCAGGGATATTGGCAGCAAATTTAGGAATAAAGAGATTTCAGGAAGATTTTCATTTAAATGACACTTGGTTTCCCTGCTGATGAAAGGGGAAGGCTTCCTCCATCTGCTAAGATCAAATTTCATCTCATCAAACACCTCAGTGTAATTATTTTTCTACCAAGTATTTAAATGAGGATGTAAATGAATACCAAGGTATTTGAAGTCATTAAGGCTGCCGAGGCTGAGAGGGAGAACCACTGGCTCTCAAGGGACCCGCAGTTCACCATCAAAGCAGCTGCTCCCCAGTGTTCATTTTGTAACCTTTATGCCACATTCTTGAATTAATGAAGAAACGTCAAGAATCTATTTCCTCAGAGAATCTTGGCATGGGGTCTGCATGAGGGAGCAAGGCACGTGAGAGAGAGAGAGAGAGAGAGAGAGAGAGAGAGAGAGTGTGTGTGTGTGTGTGTGTGTGTGTGTGTGTGTGTGTGTGTGTGTGCAGGGGAAATGGGGGAATTTTACTTAAAAGAATTTGGACTCTGTAAGTTATAATCCCTTCTACCACAGTATAATAGAACAGTTTTGAAGTTGAGGGAATAACTATAAATAAGCCGGCCATCATAACTCCCATGAATCTTTTATTGTTATATGGTACCAGCCCTTTTCTTCTGGATTTTGACTTCTCTACGTGTAAAGTAGGAATGTGGGGATTGCCAAGATATTGAAAACTGGGTTTCCTGTCTAACAGTGGCCAACTTCTTCTGAGCCTAACTAGAAATATCCAAGTCTTAAGACCTACCCTGACTTAGGAGGCGACAGATGAACATTGAGACTTTTCTCCATTTATACACATCTCACTCAGCGTTATAAATAACACTCAATCTTAAAATTCCACTTTACCCTAACAACAAGATGGGCATACAATCTGCCATTCCCTTCATTTGAATGTGAAGAATGGTAGGTTATAGTAGAAATCTTACCTCCTCAGAAAAGTCACGTGGAGGGGGGCAAGGAGAAGACACAGACACCATGTGTGTACATGTGTGTACATGTGTGTACATGTGTGTACGTGTGTATGTGTGTGCTGTGTGTCCTGCTGGGAGTCTTTAGAGGAAAAGGAGCAAAAGGGATAAAGGACAAGTCATATAAAGCATCCTTTTGATCAAAAAATAAAGTTCTGCAGAGTGTTAGGAGACTGGAAAACTAGGCTTTGGATACTGTCAGCACCTAAAATGTTGTCTTGCAAACTAAGTGCATGATTTAAAACAAAGAAAGTTTTTTAAATTAACACTTAGCTGTGTCAGAGGGAATCTTTTTTCCATCCTATATCTCAGAGCTTGTAGCCTTAGTCTAATACAGAAGATGCGTAAGAGTAAATTCTAGGCAGAGAGAATGTGTTCACCCTTAACAATATCAAAATCTGATTCAGCTTGACAGAAAACGGGATGAGATCCCCTGGCATAGACAGCTATTGAGAACCTGACTGTATAGATACAAACACATCTGGTCCATGGCTTTCTGTGCAAACAGGGAACTACAATTAAAACATTAAGGAAAGTACTATTTTCCTTAGTGAGTTAGCAGCAATCCCACTTCTATACAAAACCATGCTTTCTCTCAAGATATAAAACTTCAATTTTGCTTCCACTCACTGGTGCTAAAAGGGAGCCCCATTAAAGTTCACCTTAATAAACATTTAAATTCAAAGGTGTCCATATATTTAAGCAGGGCAGGAAGCAAGAGTAAATAAGATATTGGTTATGAAGACATAAATGCAAGAATTTAGATTCTGAATTATAAAACTAATTAAAAAATGAAGTAGATATGTCCAGAGTAGGATCTTCTTAGTAGCATTATCTACTAACTGGTCAACAAACGAAAAAGGAAAAAAAGCAATCAGGGGTAGAAGCAATAGAAGCAAAACAAGAAATCATAAGGTATACGAAAGGACTCAATTTTACAATTTTCTTTTAAGATAAATGAATTGATATCACAATGTCATCATAGAGATTTTTAAATCTCAAATTTAAGTATTTCTCAAAAATGGATAAGTAAATAATGAGTGAACAGCAGGAAAATAAAAATCAACTTGAGAACAAATTAAGTTTTAGAGGAAGAGCTGGGAAGACAATAATGTTTTCAAGTTCTTAGCCAATTAAAGGAAATAAAGTATGCAGAACATATCTATGCCAATCCATAATGCAAATTAAAGAATTTATTCCTATGATTCCTGTCTATATAACATGACTATTGTAAACTGTGCCTTTGATAAATATTTAAGAGATTAGTTAAGTCAGTATCAGTTTCCTGTTTTTATAGCTTTTTTTAAAAAATTATAGTTATTGGGAGCCTGGGTGGCTCAGTCATTAAGCGTCTGCCTTCGACTCAGGTCATGATCCCAGGGTCCTGGGATCAAGCCCCGCATCAGGCTCCCTGCTCAGCGGGAAGCCTGCTTCTCCCTCTCCCATTCCCCCTGCTTGTGTTCCTGCTCTCGCTGTCTCTGTCTCTGTCAAATAAATAAATAAAATCTTTAAAAACTAAAATAAAATAAAAAATTATAGTTATTTCATGCTCATTATAGAAAAAGTAAGGACGTACAGATAAGCAAAGAAAATCAATCCCAGTTTCACATGTGTCAAAGAACTTAAGTCAGACTAATTTCTCAGAAGTTCTGATACTGCACACAAAATCTTTACTCCTCTTTCAGCAACATTTTAAGTGGATATAGTTTCAATATGTCTATGAACTTGCTAATACACTGTCCAGCCCTGATTTCAATTTAAATGAAACCACAACAGTCTCCCTTACTTTTATTTTTAAATCAGATTGCTTCCAGCAAACAAATGAAGCAAGGACAATTCTGAGGCCCAAAGCACTAACCCCATCACACCCTATCCAGAAATTCAACCTCTTCATTCTAGACAGTTTTGGGGTTTAATTTGGAAAGTAGAGCTGATTTTAAAAAGAAAGCTGAGTGCTGAAGACATATAGCACCAAGGCTTTGTGCTACCGCTGCTACCTTCCTAGAACACCAAAGTAAGAGGCGTGTTTTCCTTGGCAACTTTTTCCAGTGTCCTTTTTATCCAGCTTTACTTAAGAGACCTCACTCACAGTCTATCAGAGGGGCCCTATTCGCTAATAGCAATGAAGACAGGAACGCTTCAAAGTGAATTTCATCACTGACCAACACATTGGCAAGTCAGTATTCCCTTGTTCTGTCCCACTTGATTCTCCACGTACTCTATGTGCCCCATCCCTCCTTGGAAGCCTACACAGTGCTCTTCCACCCAACATTCTAGCAGGGTAAATAGCTAGTGAAGCCTCTATATAGTTATAATAAAGGAGGAGAAAAAATGCGAGGTCTCACAATTTAAGAACAGTTAATCTTCAAAGACCATGACTGAAACAGAGAAAGAAGAACTGATGCCAACAGAAGAAAAAGTTGAGCAAAAAAAGTCATCACTGGCCTATTATTTCCCCTTTCTGTGTAAAGAACAAACATATCTAAACCTATTAATTTGATATATGAATATATATGATGCCTAATTGAAGTACCAAGATGTCTATAGCTTACTTTGAGATAGTTCACACACACACACACACACACACACACACATAAATAGACAAACCAAATATGGCAAAATATTAACAACTGTCGATCTAAGCGATGGGTGTATAGGTGTGTATAAGTCTTTTTTTATTTTATTTATTTATTTGACAGAGAGAGAGAGACAGCGAGAGAGGGAACACAAGCATTGGGAGTGGGAGAGGGAGAAGCAGGCTTCCTGCTGAGCAGGGAGCCCGATGTGGACCCGATCCCAGGACCCTGGGATCATGACCTGAGCCGAAGGCAGATCCTTAACGACTGAGCCACCCAGGCGCCCCAAGTGTATAAGTCTCTTAACTTTTGTGTGTGCTTGAAATTTTTTATAATAAAAAGTTAAAAAAAAATAGTGACATCTTATTTTTAGACAGCAGTTTTCAATTTATAAAGACCTTTTAGAAACACAGTAATTCAATCTTTGTAAATTAGGTCAGATATAATCACTATTGTAGTATAGTCATGAAAACTAAGTCTCAGACATTTAACAAAATTCAACATACTTTCATGATTTAAAAAAAAAAACTTCCAGACAGCTAGGAATAGAGGGAAAATTCCTCAATATGATAAAAGGCATTTATGAAAAACCCATAAGTAACATCACACTCAGTGGTGAAAGAGTGAAAGCTTTCCCCCTAAAGCCAGGACGAGACAAGGGTATCTGTTTTCACCACTACTATTCAATATTGTAACTAGAAGTTCTAGCCAGAGCTATTAGACAAGTAAAAAGAAATAAAAGGTATCCAAATAGGTAAAACTATCTCTATCCACAGAAGATATGCCCCTATATTAGAAAACCTAAAAAAATCCACAAGAAAGCTACCAGAACTAATAAACTAATTCAGCAGTTTCAGGGTACAAGACCAACATGCAAAAATCCCTTGTTTCTATACACCAGCTATGAGCAGTCTTATGAGGAAATTAAGAAAGAAATTTCATTTATAATAGTATCAAAAAGAATTAAATACTTAGGACTAACTCTAGCAAAGGGGGTAAGATGTATATACTGAAAACTGTAAAACAATTATGAAAAAATTTAAAGATTAAATTAATGGGAAAACATCCCTTCATATTAGGAAGGCTTAATACCATTAAACTATCAATATCACCCAAAGCAATCTACAGATTCAACACAGTATCTATCAAAATTCCAACAGCCTTTTTTGCAGAAATGGAAGAATATATCCTCACATTCATATGGAATTGCAAGGGACCCTGAATAGCCAAAATAATCGGGAAAAAGGAGAATAAAGTTGGAAGACTTATACTTCCCAACTTTGAAACCTTCTACAAAGCTATAGTAACTAAAACAGTATGGTACTGGCATAAGCAGAGACATACAGATCAATGGAATAAAAGAAGAAGCCCAGAAACAAACCCTCACATACATGGTCAGTTGGAATTCCAAGAGTTCAACGGGGAAAGCAACAAATGATGCTGGGAGAACCGGATATCCACTTGCAAAAGAATGAAGTTAGACTTTCACCTTATACCATATATAAAAATTGACTCAAAAAAATGGATCAAAGACCTAAAACTATAAATTCTTAGAAGACAACATTGGGGCAAACCTTCGTGACATTGGATTTGGCAACAATTTCATGCACAGATGACAAAAAATTAATAAATAAACTATTATAAACTATAATTAATAATAACTAATTAATAAACTAGACTTCACCAAAATTAAGGACTTTTGTGTCTCAAGGGACACGCTCAAGAAAGTGAAATGACAACCTACAGAATGGGAAAATATTTGCAAATCAAATATCTGAAAAGTGAGTAATATCTAGAATATATAAATAATTCCTACAATTCAACAACAAACAACCCAATTGAAAAATGGGAAAAGAACTCAAGCAGACATTTCTCCAAAGAAGATATATAAATGGTCAATAAGTACATGAAATAACACTCAACATCATTAATCATTAAGGAAATGCAAATAAACCACAATGAAATACCAGTTCATAACTACTGAGGCTATAATAAAAAAAATTTTTTTAATTAAAAAAAAACTGGAAAAGGGGTGCCTGGGTGGCTCAGTCAGTTAAGCATCTGCCTTCAGCTCAGGTCATGATCCCAGGGTCCTGGGATTCAGCCCTGCGTCGGACTCCCTGCTCAGCAGGGAGCCTGCTTCTCCCTCTGCCTCTGCCTGCCGCTCCCCCTGCTTGTGCTTTCTCTCTCTCTCTGCCAAATAAATGAATAAAATCTAAAAAAAAAAAAAAACTGGAAAGTAACACGTGTTAAAGAAATTGAAACCTTTGCAGACTGCTGGTAGGAACATAAAATAGTACAGGCACTATGGAAAAATGGTTTGGTGGTTCCTCAAAAGTTAAACATAGAACTAACAGATGATCCAGCAATTTCACTCATAGGTATATATCCAAAAGAACTGAAAGCAGGGACTGGAACAGATATCTGTAGAACGATATTCATAGCAGCATCATTCACAAGAGCCAAAAGACAGAAACTCCCCAAGCGTCCATCAACAGAAGAATGGATAAACAAAACGTGGCATAAAAAGAGACAAAATTTCGATATATGCTACAACATGGATAGACTTGAAAACATTATACTAAGTAAAATAAGTCAGACACAGAAGGACAAAGATTGCACGATTCCATTTACCATAGCATCTAAAAAAAAAAAAAGAAAGATAATTTCTACACAGACACATAGATAGATGATAGATAGATAGATAGATAGATAGATAGATAGATAGATAGATAAATAGATAGATAAATAAATAAAAGAATTGAATACTTAGGAATAAATCTAACCAGGGAGGTAGGAGACTTGTACACTGAAAAATGAGGTACAAGAATAGGCAAATTCATAGAGAGAAAGCAGAACAGAGGTTACCAGGGGCTAGAAGCGGGAGAAAAGGAGGAGTTCTTGTTTAATGGGCAGAGTGTATGTTGGGGATGATGAAAAAATTTTGAGTATAGATACTGGTGACAGGTATACACAGGACTGTGAATATATTTAATGCCACTGAGCTGTACACTTAGCAATGGTTAAAATGATAAATATGATGTTATATTCATTTTAACCACGATTGTTTTAAAAAGCATGTTTTGAAAACAAAGTCTCAGAAATACAGTGATTTACTCCAAGTCATACAACTGGTAAAAGGCAAAGCCAACATTCAGTATCAAAAATTTGTTAAATCTCCATGACAACAAAAGACATGTATTCTATCAGATGCAGAGCTTAAAACAAAATCTAATTGTTTTGATTTCCTAGGCTCTCTCCAGAAGCTCATCTTCTAAAACCTATCATAAAGAGGAGTAATCTACTTTGTCTTCGATTTGATATGAAATCTGCCTGACCATCAGGTACTCCAGCTTCCGCCTCTCGCTCAGGAAGGGCAGGAAAGAGTGCCCTGCACCCTTACAGCGCACTAGGCGTGACTAAGAAAGCAGGCTCTGGAGTCACGTTACCTGGATCCTCTATTAACTGTGTGACCTTAAGCAGGTAATGTAACCTCCGTGGGCCAGTGTCCTCATCTGTGAGATGAATGGGACTCATCTCACAAAGTTGTTAAGTCAAATGAATTATTACATGCCAAACACTTAGCACAGACCTTGGCCCCTGGTAAAAAAGAAGGTTTCTACCTCCTTCTCGCCCCCTTTTTCCTTCTTCTTTTTCTTCTTCTTCATCATCATCAACATTATTTATTAACACTGAGCCTCTACAAATTACCTGGGAAACCGTCATCTGCATGTTACTTTGCCCACTGCAAAGCCAGACATCTCCAAATAAGACATCATGAACTCTCAGGGTGATGTTCTTTCTCCTGAAAGTCTGCTGTGCCATCACCTTGTAAGGTCCACCAGGCTTCATAGGATCCAGTACCACCATCCAGCTGTGAGAGCGTGCTGAAATCATTAAGAGGCTCCAAGGAATTAATCAATCAATTAAAATGAAATTAAAGCACAATCCTGCCATGCATCATACTCATTTGTGGCTAAACCCAGCCATTGTGATTAACTAAATGCAAAGATACGAAGATTGGCCAAATTTCACACAAGCAAAGAGAGATTAAAAAAAGCAGAATTTCTACCCTTAATCTGTACCAGTCCCTCCTTCCTTGTAACTGAAGCATTTACAGGAAAAATAAATCACCCAGTTATCATCCTAAATGAGAACAGACAAAAATATACTGAGATTAAAATTCAGGGAGTTTAATTAAAAAATAAAATAGAAATTCTTATTATACTAGCCAACTGTCAATATTAACAGAATGATAATCTAGTAGATTTACACAGTGTCCCCAAACTAATCTGTAATTATATAATCAAATGTGAACACAGGTTAGAGAAAATCATTTACAATCTGGAACTTTCCCCTTACTTGATGGTGTCATCCTTGTCATCAATCCCCCACCCACTCCCCATGTCGCTTCCAAAAATTAATGCTACCTTTGGGTCTGGGTTCTCCAGACTCACAGGTGAGCAGAGAAAGTGACATATAAAGAAGCAGCAGGAGCATACAAATTAATCTCTCTGAAGAAGATATTTAGATGTCCCCAATTAATTATTTTCAGAGTTATTTACCAGACTCAAGGTTTTCGGACTCAATTAGGGAGATGAAAAAGCTATCCAAGACCCTATTTCAGAAATTCATAGCATATTCCTTAGGAACCACCCCCCTACCACCTTCCTACCTCTCACCCACTCATACCACCACCAATGCCAACATCATACTCAGAAACTTAGGGAAAATATCTTCAAAATGGCAAAATTATGCCTCAGAGAACCAAACGACATGAATAAAGTTGAAGAAATGAGAGTGAAAAAAAAATAAAGAAAATAGAGAAATGATCATTTTAGAATAAATATTCTTGGCACAATGCCAAAGAATACAAAGTATTTTCTAATTTGTGCCCATCAGATTAATGTTAATTCAACGGGAAAGAATGGTAAGAACTGGAAATGGAGCACCCTGAAGTTATCACAGCAACCGGTAAAAAAATAATAATGATAAAAATACTGTCCAAGTGCCTACTGTGTGCTAGACACTGTACTAAGTTCTTGCCAATCAGCAAAAGCTAAGCAGGGGCATGAGAGGTCCAGATGCGCGACAGGAGATTAGTAAAAGCTCAAAGCATACAGGGTTGCTCCGTCTTGGGGAAAAATGTCCAAAAGCCTCAAGGCATCAGCAAAAGGGTACACGCTTGCTCCTCTCCTAAGTACAACCGACTGAGATTGCTACTCTCCTCCCTTAGAGGTCAATTAAAGCCAGGTCCAAACGGTCACTAGTGTTTTTGTACCACCAATAGCCAGGCATCAACATATTAAATGCATAATTCACCTAAAGCGGAAAAATCACTGTTTTGGAAACAGTGGGCAGCTAGTGCAGATTGTGTCGCACAGGTGTGATATGCACCATATGGCTCACGCTTCTGAGCAGACAGACACTCCAATCTGTCCCAACTACAGTCTTGCCAAGGTCTTCCCAGGCTTCTTGCATGGACATATCTTCCTAAAGCTCTGTCCTTCTGCCACCAACATTACTCATCTCTTGATGAGGAGGTCAAAAAACTTAGGCAGAACTTTTTTTTTTAGCTTTCTACTACTATACAATCTATTCCTACTCGCTGTTGTTTATTGGATTTTACACTTAGCCTCAATCATGCAATATGGCTGGTGAAGAAAATGGCCTTCACCAGCACTTCTGAAACGTTTTGCTGCCCAGCAACAAAAAGACAAATAAGTGGAAGGTGAGACATTTGGACAAGAGATGGCAACACCATCCTACTACAGCAGGAGGATAAGCTCCTAGCACCTGAATAGTCTGAAGAGGACTAGGGATCTAGACCTGAGCCTTGGTCCCAAGAACTACTCTCCTGAGGAAAACTCTCAACTCCCTCAAAGACCTTGGAGAACTTCCTCTGCCCTACTCCTCAACTTCTCTTAGTTTCAAGCAGTTTTCCTCTCCCACTTGATAAAAGAAAAATAAACTCTGACACAATAATGAGGGTTAAGTGAAGTTACCTGCCCAGGAATGCAGGGGAAACCAGACCCACTACAGAGAGCTGACTAGGGCTCAAACTAACTCAGAAACAATTCAGTTAAAACAATGAGGATTCCCTCCCCAGTCAAGCATATACAAAGGAGAGCAACCCCCATGAAGGCTGCTTCTTAGACTAAAGGCAAGGGTGGGACGGCAAAGGCAAAAGTCACCCTGTTTCCCAAGGAGAATTGATTGGTCCTTGGCTGGCAGTTCAGGACTGGATAAAGTGGAGCTCACCACAGGATGCTGAAATCCACTTACAGTTTTTAGAAACTGTGTTGACCCACCAAGTCCATTAGGTTGAATCCAAATAAAACTGAGTCATTAACTACCAAGAGTTGGAAGTTCACCATCCAGCTGGCTCTCTGCTGAAAATGATGGGCTTTCTGAGCAACAGCTGCTCTGGCTCCTTCTTCTGGGCCCTCATCACCTGTCATCTTACTGCCTATCTTACCAATCCAGGCCCAGGTTTCTGTAAATGCTCATTTTTGTTGCATTCGTATCTCTGCTTCCTCACATTCTTTCTTCTCCCATTGGGGAAGATTCATGTCCTTCCTTCATTACAGAATGTCTTAGAATGCTTACCATGTGCCAGGCACTCCATCAAGTAAACCGCAGAGAGTAAACCCCAGCCCTGAGTTACACCAACAAGAAAGCCACGCAACCTGATTAGGGACTTATGTTTCCATGTCCAACGGTGAGTGTATCTGGTGGCCTATTTCTTCCTGTCCCTCTTCTCTTCATACTCCGGCCAAGAGCTTAAGTAAAGAACTCTCTTCAGGGGCGCCTGGGTGGCTCAGTCGTTAAGTGTCTGCCTTTGGCTCAGGTCATGATCCCAGGGTCCTGAGATCCAGCCCCATTTCAGGCTCCCTGCTCAGTGGGAAGCCTGCTTCTCCCTCTCCTGCTCCCCCTGCTTGTGTTCCCTCTCTGGCTCTCTCTGTCAAATAAATAAAATCTTTAAAAAAAAAAAAAAAAAGAAAGAAAGAAAGAACTCTCTTCATTTTTTTCTCTCCATCTCCCTGACCAACCCCCACCTCAAAAATCAGAAGAACAAATCATCAAAGGGAAAAAAATTAAAGGAATTTGTCTAAAAACATGATTAGTCATAAAGTGCTTTCATGCTTTTTTTCCTTTTTGCTATTCACATCAGATGTTAATTATTTTTCAGGTTATTGTGCCAAATCTCACATGCCAAGAGAAAAAGGAAAATTATCCATGACCTTTCCCTTCCCAAAAGGAAAAGCCTAGAGATGAAAGAAGCAGCCCTGTTTGCTTCTTCCCTCACAAAACCCTGGCACTTCACCAGCTGCAAATCAGTTCAATGATTTGTGGAAGTGACTGGGAGGGCTTAGTGCCCAAACTTCCCCTTGACAACCTGCATTTATTCTGTATAAAGTTCATCTCCACCGCTACCAAATATGAATGTAAAAAGAAAAAAGAAATCTTGAATATTTTTCTAGTGATAAAACTGTTTATGCAAGTTGTTTAAATGATAGAATCTATGGCAGATACACCCTAAGGTGACCCCCCCCATAAGTCACACCCTTATATAATCCCCTTCCCCTCAAATGCAGGCAGAATCTGTGATTTGCTTCCAACCAACAGAAAATGGCATGGGGGAGGAGATGTCATTCTTGTGATGATTAGGTTACATTATATGGAAAAGATAAAGGAGTTTAGCAGATGGAATTAAAGTTCCTAATCAGTTGACTCTGAGTTAACAAAAAGGGAGATTTCCTTGGGTGGGCCCGACCCTAATAAGATGAGCCCTTTAAAACAAAGGTCTCAAGATCGGAGATTTGAAGCAGCAGAGATGCTTCCACAAATGCTATAGGCATAAGGAAATGAATCTGCCTGCAACCTACAGGAGCCTGAGGTGGATAATTCCCTAGTCAAGCTTCCAGATGAGAACACAGCCCAGCCAACACTTGATTTCAGTCTTGTGAGACCCTGAGCAGAGAACCCAACTGAGTGATGGCCCGCCCAGGCTTCAGATCTCTAGAAACTGTGTCATGACAAAAATGTGTTCTTGTAAGCACTTAAGTTTGTGGTAATTTATTATGTAGCATCAGTCATGATGACAAATCCAGAAGCACCCTCATTTTACCACCCTCCATGCGTCCCCCACATGTATCAGAGTGAGAGGATATACCTTATCCTCCCCTATGTGTCTGAAAGAATCATCATGCATCATTTGACAATATGTTTTGAATAGGCCCAGTACCTGACCCATATTCCCAACCATCCCTCAAGTTCTAATTTTCCCAAAGCTTGAGTGTCAGTCTGCTGGACAAGAACCTTCATGCTGTTAATTCCATTTTGTTATGGGCACCCAGGGGACTGATTTTAGGTAATAAGTTAAATATTAACAGAGACAGAGTGACAAATTGAGGTAGTCTAGCTGAAAATCCCAGAGTCCTCATCAAAATTTAGATAGAAATCAACCCTCCAATATATGCTGTAGTGTTTCCTTTGAGAAACATTTTCTTTGCTGCCCTATAAAATTTCCTACGTGTCTACCTCCTTTACTCCAAATAATACTTTATCCATTTTGCTTCAGGTGCAGAACGGAGCAAGACGCCTCTATCGGTAGGTTTATAGATCTATATAAAATAAATACCTTTCTTCTCTACCTAGCAAATGTGGAGAGCCTAATAAATAGATCTACCCCCACTGCTACCAATAACAACATCCTTTTTCCTGTGCAATTACCATCAACAGTCCATGAATCACTTGGTTCCCTTAAGTTGCTGCTGGATATTTTAACTTCAAATGACACATCACTTTGCAGTAAAGCAACAGAAGCATTACTTAAACCAAAGGTACCAAATGTGAAAGGACAGCATGAGAGAGTGAGTTCCTGGAGGATGGGCACAATTTGTATTCTTTGTATTTTCTAGGGCTTCAGGGTTTTATACACAATAAGCCCTCAGTTGATGTTTATAGGACTGAACTCAAGACAAGTGAGCAAGTTCACTACCACCACGAAGGAAAAGAAAGGCTCAGCCCCTAATCATTACCGTTTACACCTTGTCGTCCCTACCTATCCTCCTGCCTCATCTCTGGCCATTCCAAATATTGGTCCTACAATAGCCATGAAGGGAGAAAAAAACTAAAAATAATGCATAAGAACATTTAAAAAAATCTGAAATGCTATATATATGGGCAGTACAGAGCAAGATGCTCCTATAAGTAGGTTTATGGATCTACATAAAATAAATACCTTTCTTTTGTACCAAGCAAATGTGGAGAGCCTAATAAATAAAGTACATATATGTACACACACATACATATGTACATATACGCATAGACACACACATCTTCTGTATCTACCATTACAGTACTAACGATGTAGTCTCTGTCTCCTAAAGATGTATTGGTATGTTAATTGTTGGCACCAAGGAAATCCTATCTATTGTATTTAAACTACAGTGGTTCTTTGGACTTCTAAATCGACATTATTTACTGAGATCACCAGTATTTACGCTCTGTGCTGTTAATTTCTGAGATAGACACAACACAAAAAGAAAGCACTGCTCATCTGTTGAATTGAACTCGTTTTCATTTTATCCTACAGGTCACCAGCAGCATTTAAATCTAACAGAGAACAACTTCTCAATCAGCTTAAGCTTCCCTTTTAACTCTTTTAGTCTCACCCAATAACATTCTTACCTCAAAAAGTGTTAAAATCCAAGAACTAGAAGCACTCACCTTGCATCTATGGCTGGTACACAGTAGTTAAAAATGTCTGTTGAATGGAAATGAATTACAAAGAGCCTGCACCAGGGTTTGGATCACTCTCAACTGGATATTGACAGAACTGATTAGGCAATCTTTGTTTTCAAGGGCCAAAAGAATTTCCACAAGCTTCCCGGTCACATATATATTCAAGCCACTGCTCAAACCACCAACTCCCACATTCACCCCACCGCCCTCCCAGAGTAGCCTCCTTACCCGTCTGTCTCTCACCTTCAACACTCCATTGCTATATCGCTACCTCTAACCGAGATCTGATCCAGTCTCCACTTGACCCAGCCCTGCCTGTGGCCTCCTGCATCTAGTAACTTCCAGCTATGCTCCTCCCCATGCTATCTTACATAGCTTTCTCTCTTCTAGACAGAGAATCCTTTGTAGGACCTGTCTGCCCATGGAGGCTTCTGATTCTCACCTTCTTGAACATCCTTGCGGCCACTATCTCGGGTCAGGCCTTCACTGTCTATTGCCTGAATCTCATAATGACAGTTCCCATCACCTCTACTCTTACTGATCTCCAATCCACTTTCCACAGTGCTGCCAGAGTCATCTTTCTAAAATACAAATCTGATTGAGTTATTTTGCTACTTAAAATCCCAAAATCCAAACTAGAATATACACTCCTTAGCAGTGACAGACAAGCATTCCTGCATTTCCAACCTTCGTCTGCCGGCAGGCACATACCCGAGCGCTCAAGCCCACCAACCTGCTTGCCATTTCTCCAAGGACCTGTGCTCACTCGTGCCTCCATGCTTCCAACCAGGCTATGCCCACTACCTGGTTTGCCCCACTCACCTTTCAAGATAAACCTTAGGCTAAGTGAATTATCTCTCCTAAGCACTCCCAGAGCACACTGCACTTCCAGACTGTGGCACCTAACGCACTCACCTGTCATTGCTTATTATTTTTCTCTCTCCTCCGCTAATCTGTAAGCTTCCTTAGGAGACAGACCACATCTATCTCGCTAATTACTGTATCCCTTGATAAATATTTGACCGACTAAATACAATAGTAATAATAATAGTGGCAGCTAACACTTATGCAGTACTTCCTATGTGCCTGGCACTGTTCTAAGTACTTTACATGTGTTAACTCATGTAATCCTCGCACTAATCCTAAATATCATTATTATCCCCACTTTACAAATAAGGACATTGTGACTCAGAGACATTAAATAACATGCCCGAGGTTATATAGTCATAACATGACAGAGTCAGAACCTGAAGCCAGGAATCCAGAGCCTAGGTTCTTCGGCCCTCCTCCATACCCCCTTCTCCTTCGTTTACAGTTCAGTTCAAATGGCACCTTCTGTGGAAACCGTCTCTTACCATCCAGTCTGAGTTAGGTGTTTGCCTTCTGCATCCCATGACACCATATGTACACCTGCCTCATAGTATTCATCACGCTGCGCTTGATGACTTGGTGTCTATCCCCCTCATTCCGTGAGATCCTGGAGGGCAGGGACTTTGACTTTGTCTTGATTTCCTTTGTATCCCCAGGGCGCAACACATGGTAAATACTCAAGTTTTTATGGATGGATGAATCAATGGATGACTGGGATAACCTGAGCTGGAGCCTAAGCATTCATTTCCAGATTATCCAGCAGGTGGCAGAAGAGGACAAAAGCTGAACAAAGGACCAGCGGCCTTACCTTTCACACTTGTCACTTTCTTCATGATGGCTTCCTGCTGTTGGTACAGAGTCACTGTCACGGTGGCCCCCGATATGCCATAGCCCCAAATCACTGCCCCGGCAGGCTCCTTCTGCAGCACCATGTAATTATTGATGTATGAGGCGAAGCGAAAACCAACATCTAAAAAATTTAACAAACACTTAGAAGAGCATCATTGGGATATTCATCACCAATTGAAGCTGCTTAAACAGCAAGGAACATAAAGTCTTTATACAGGGCAATTTGAGTATAACCAGTCCTTTTCATCTTCTAAAACTAGATCTTATTCCTTCTAATTAGGTGAGCGACCTAACAAGAACAGTTGCCAAAGATATGCAGCATAGTACAAGGTGGCCAATAAAAGGAAAACTCAAAGAGCCTAGGGCAACCAATGTGCCACCAGCCTCCGCCCCCTCAGAGCTCTTGACCTGCTTTTGCCCTTGGGCTTGGCCCTGATGCTTCACTCTCTCCCCCCCAAATTGCTAACATGCTCCTCTTTTACACCCCACAGATGGTATTTATGAGAAAAATAAACCACTTCCTTCCCCTACTTTCCATTACCACGCCCACTCCTTGTTGCTGGGAATAAAGAAACCTGCCTCTCTCTAACACAGCCTTCCCTAATCCTTCCCCCCGCTCTTTATCTCCCCTTTTGCATCCTACCAGTGTCGATTTCCCACAAATAATTCCCCTTACTGTGTTTTTTCTTGACAACCCACCGAAAATTCTAAATAAGCATTTATGAGTATCTGCAATGTCTCCTTCCTTCTAAGGTAAATACAGATAAATAAGATGAAATAATACGGTCAGTGAGAAACAGAAGGTCAAAATGTCAGAACAAAGGTCTTCCGTCTCAATTTTACCCATTTCACAAGCTAAATTATATAAAAAGCACAAGAAGGAGAGCACTTGAAACTGTAGATTCTATTCTAGAGTCACTAACAAGACTGAATAAGAACTCACTTTAACGAGATCATTCCTATTTTTAACATGCAGCCTATATTGAAGTATTTTATTAATAACAAGCATCTATCCAAATTATCTCAGTGAGTTCCTCATCAAAGCTTAAAAGGGGAAAAAAAAAACTTCTTAAGTTATATCCCACTTTGTCTGAACAAAACAGACTGAAATCCCTAGAAGAAAATAATTAACAAAGTTAAGATTTTTTTTTTTAAGGGCTTTAAACAAAAATGATAGGCAGGAAAGAGAATGAGAACTAACAAGGTTGACATTTTCCTCCCTGGAAGTTACCAATAAAGATGGCCCCTTAGACTACGCCTAACAGGGACCAGAGCTAATGGGGTCTCCTACACAGACCCGGTAGCCTATTTGTCCTGTGCTTTGAATAACAGCCCAGTCGCTAAACATCCTCGGCTCTCCCTCTCTCTCATGAGTTTTAGTCCCATCATAAAACTGACATGACAAGCAAAGATCATCCAGAAGGCTGTATAATGGGCTGGAGATGCACAGCTACCACAAGCAAAATGCTCTAAGAAGAGACTCTAACACCCCACAATTGCATAAGCAGGTTGGCAGCATGCTGGAGGGAAGGGGAGAGGCACATGTGTGGGTGGGCCTAGTCTTGGGTAGGTACTTCATATGGAACAAAAACTGGAAACTAAAGGGCTAAGAGCTAAGGGGGGGGGGGACGGAGTGAAGGAAATTGGCTGTCCGCTCCCACATGAGCCTGTGCAAATAAAGGGCGCTCTGAGTGCAGCCATTGTCTTCCAGGCTGGGGACACATCTTTCCAAGTCCGCCTGTTTTCGCCGACACACACTTACTGGACCTCCTTGTGCCTGGCTCTATTCTGCGTTAAAGAATTTTAGAGGTAGAGAGAATCTTTCACACCCCAACGTACAATCATGATCAACAGACTAACACCCGGCTAGCTTAGGTAATTGAGGTTAATAGCTTGCATATTAATTAATCCGACAAATATTTATTGATGCCTACTGTGTGCCAGGCACCACTTTAAGCATTGAGGATATAATAGTAAGAAAAAGAAAGAAAAAAAAACAGACAAAAATCTCTGCTAGCAGCAGACAGCTTACGTTTTACTGGGGAGCTTACTTGGGGCTGGCACAGTGCTAAGCATACCGCATAAGTCAACTCCTTTGACCAACCTGAAATCACACAGGTAATTTATGACAGGACTAGAAACCAAGCCACCTGATTCCAAAGTTAATGCAATTTCCACTCTGCTGCAGTTAAATACTGGTTGTAGATTAAAAAAAAAAAAAAAGTCATATTCCCTGCCCTTATAATGCTCACATTCCAAGCCGATAAGAGTAGACAGTGGAACATTACCAAGGAACTGAGCAATGGACAAAATAGGAGAATAGGAAAGGAGGCAGGACTGGTCATTCTTTTTGTCAAACACAAGACACTTAGCATTTGATTTTTTTTTTTTTTTTTTTTTTTTTTTAGGTCTTCAATTTTTCCACCATTTGGGTGGAAAACAGGAATTAGCGTTCTGGGGAAGGTAAATGTAGTCATTAAAAGTAGACTGACAAAATTAGGACAGTGGTTAAGTTACCTCTGGTGACGACCTGGTGGATGCACTGGAGAGAAACATCCAGAGAGTCTCAATAAAATGCAATGTTCTAGTTCTTAAGTTGGGTGCAGCACCCTTGGGTATTCATTTTCTTGTTTCATTGCTCATATATTTTTATACATTTCAAATATGACACAGTCAACATGGGCACAGGGGGAACGATTGTTAAGACAGATGCCAAGATATGCAATCAAACAAGAAGGAAAGAAAATTTAAAGCATTAATGAAAAATAGTCACTGTTAATGCAAGTAATGTAACGAGAAGACCCAAAAGTGAAGACAGAACACTGTATTGGCATTAAAGTTAACAGCCTTTAACAGAAAAACTAATAAAAGAATGGCCCTACTCTCCTCTCATATGCTGGACTCAAAAGTCATAGTGGGGATGAGAGTCAGAAAGTGCTATGCAGAGTGCTGCCGGTCTACACTTCTGTTAAGGCCTGAGACACTACCGAGGGGCCACAGTTGGTCTCAGTCTGGGTACTTCTGGATTCTCAGGTATAGCAACAGTCATTTTTCTGCACCCTGTCCCCATTCTCACTTCAACTTTCATTTCTTAGCAGGGATCTTTGGGGTCCACTATTTGAATGGTTTTAAGAAAACATAGGTCCAGCATTATCATTTTACTTGGCATTAGCGGGCAGATTCCACCTTCCGGTTCTCCATGGTTGTGGCTCAGTGCTCAGCCTGGAGTATTCAAACGACAGCATCGGCCCTGGACAGTAGTCAAAGTGAGTCACCCTCCTCCCCAATGCCACGCCTATTATCCCACCACCGATATCTGTAAGCGGTGCCAGAAATCAAAACTAAGCCTTAAATATTCGAAGCGAGTGAGGGGGTTGTATTTCCTAATCCTAATCACCACTTAAACTAGTCAAATATAATTCCCCCAAGGAACCAAGCTTGAAGCAAACCCTCCCCAAGGGCGCTGCTGAGGGGGCAGCAGGGAAATGTTGTGGATGACTCAGTCACCGGTTTCCAAATACTATCTAACTAGCTTCACACACCCCCTTCCCCCTCGACTTCCCCTGCGACTATGCAAAGACCCCAAGGGCCTCGGTCTGGGACATTTGGGCCTCCCCACTCAGATACACCGAAATCTCCCTCTGCGCCACACCCGGCATCTGGGCGACGGTGCAAGGGTGTGGAGGAAGCGGACCGGCCGGAACTCCCGCCCAGCCGACCCCTGCGGCCTAGGCCCGGGTCAGAAGGCCGGCTCCAGGGTAGCGGTTCGCGCGTCCTGCAGAGGACGCGGGAATTCGGAGCCCGCGCAGGCGGACCGGCAGGGCCTGGGCCGAGCCGGGCCGCCTCACCTGCACTTGTGCCGGCCGGCAGGATTAAAGGCAGCACCAGCCCAAATGCAAATCCCGGTACCACCATGCTGGCGAAGATCCGACACCCGGGCGCGGGACTCCGGGCGCGGACTCCAGGCGGGACCCGGGTCGTGGGCGGGGCCTGCGCGAGGCGGGGAGGCTTGACTCCACCCACCCCTCCCAAGACGTTCGGTCGCGAAGACAACAGAAGTGCCTCTGCGCTTCCCGGCCGCCGTAGTTGAATTTAAAAAAAAAAAAAGGTTACCCAGCAACGAGAAATAACAACTGGAACTGTCGGCACCAGCTCTGAGACAACGAAGAGGTGAGGCGGTTTACCCCACTTCCTCCCCAAATCCGAGACCTCGCCTTCTTCCTTGGCCTCTAGCATTCTCTCAGGATCCCAGACACAGTCCGGGATCGCGAGGGCAGATTGGGCGCCAAGGCAGCCCATTCTGCGAGAGTCTGAAATCCCAGATCCTCGACGTCCCGCCGCGCATTAGACCGGGGTTCCCCCTCCAACCGCCCTCCACTGTCCTGATTGGTTCAGGGTGTTACCCGTCCTTCTCACAACCCTAGAATGACTCAATGCCTCATCTCCTGTTCCCTCAAAAAGAGGAAAACATCCTCCACACATTGGGCCTCATTAAACCATCTAGTCCCTCACCTAGACCCCTCCCACGGCTTGTGGACTTGTCAAAATATCGACACCTTCACAAAAAGACCAGGTCCCTGAGTGTCGTTTGCATACTCAGCGGCTCAGCCCGCTCCTTGACAGCTATCCTTAATCCAGCCCTTGTCTTCCAAGACAGAAAGATAAGACCTGGTCAAGACAAAACCAGAAAACACAAGAATCCCCAAATCTTGGACTCTAGGACTGCAAAATCACGAATTTGCCTCCACCCCCCCTCTAACCCTGCTGCCCCTTTCAGAGTATGTAAGTGCTTCGGGGCATTGTACGTCATGCTTCCGACGTGGAAGCGAAGGGCAAGACTTAAGTGTTAAACTTACTCGTTCAACAAATTAGAGTAATTTCTAGAACCAAGATTAGTTCTTAATTCAATTTTTTTAAATTTTAGACCCCAAACAGTGTCTTCTCAGCGATTTATGATGAATTTTTAACAATGCTTCTCCCTGAGTTTCTGTGGGATAGCAGAAATTACCCTCACCTTTTAAAGGCAAGAGGGACAGAGAGAGAAAGTACTTCGTGTTATAGTGAAAAATCTGTGATTTTTGTAATTTAAAAAAATGACTTGGCCTAGTAAATGAGTCTGTATTTGTAAGATTCTAATTAATAATGGAGAGTTCAAAACTCGAAGAAATGATGGATTGGGGTTGTGTTCAGGGTAAAGAATTGAAGTCCAGAAAATGTGGGGCTCAGGACTAATTTGTTGTCATCATTGTGATTATATAAATATAATTGGACAAATTTAAAGACAGTACTCTCTAATGAATCTCTAGGTACAATAGGCAGTTCCTTCCAAGGAGATGTCGATTCCATTCTCCAACACCCACTACCGAATTCCACAAGGATTTGGGAATCTTCTTGAAGGGCTGACACGCGAGATTCTGAGGGAGCAACCAGAAAATATACCAGCTTTTGCAGCAGCATATTTTGAAAATCTTCTAGAGAAACGAGAGAGTAAGCTTTTTTTAAATAGACATTTTTTTTTTTAAAGTAAGAGACTAAGCATTTGGTTATGGTGAAACTGGCTTAAGACCATCCTCATTCCATAGAAAGTCTTTGTGAGGCAGGAAGCTTCAAGTAACAGTTCCTGCTATTAAAAACATGTGCCTTTATGACGGGTTCTCTTAAATCACGTTATTTCACATTATTGAAGATTACTGGTTGATTACACAGACGTTCTTCATTATATTCTTCATGGACACACTGGGTGGAAGGAAATCTCAAGAGATCATCCAGTCTAACTCTCCATTTTCCAACAGGCTGTTCCAGTGCATGCCAGGCATTTGACTGTCTAGTCCTCCTGGGAGGAGTTTGTGGTTTTCTTTACATGGTGACTCTTCTTACTTGAAAGTATTATAAGTGTTGTAAAAAAATAATTCTATGCTCCTTACATTAAATAGATTAGTATTTGCTGGGGTATATGAAACTAGTCTGCAAAAAGTCACAGAGAAACACTGCTTTTAAAGTGAAATTCCAGGGGTGCCTGGGTGGCTCAGTCAGTTAAGCATCTGACTCTTGATTTTGGCTCAGGTCTTGGTCTTGGGGTCATGAACTCAAGCCCCACATTGGGCTCCACCCAGAGTGTGGAGCCTACTTAAAAAATAAAAAATGAAATTCCCGCTTGAGAAGGTAATTTATATCTTTTCTCTATTCTCCCAAGGTCCCATCCTGCCCAGATTCATACTAACAGTGACTCTTTGGCTGAGAGCCAAAGCAGTTTCTTCACTTCCAGAAATAAAATGTCCAAATTCCCAGCCTTGAAGGTTCATAACTATTAAGACCTGATACAGCAGTCAAAATGGGAATTATTACAGCTATACATTTCTATTTAAAAACCCCTTCTTGACTAGAACAACCATTTTGTATAAACTGTTTCTATCATTACTTTTGACTGCAGTATTCCAACAAAGTGGTAAAGGTGACTAGAAATAACTACAAGTAAGCAAGCATTTGATTTCAAATCATTTTCCAGAAGAAGGAAACCTACCACAAGGTTTGAATTGAAGCAACTCCGATACACACTGCACAGCTCCACCATCTTGTCTTCTTTGCTCAACCCTGGCAGAGCTCAGAATCTCTCCCAATTTCCTGAATGTTGCTGGTCTTTTCCATATCCAGTCAGTGTGAATATTTGTTGCACAATTTGAAACTTATGTGCCACTAAAAAGCTATTAAGAGAAATCTTTTAGGGTAAGAAGTGAATTATAATGAACGTTAATTTAACTTTGTTATTATAACATTAATTTTACAAAGTCATGAGTAAAAGTTCTTTAGTCATTTATTTAATTTTAGATCTCAGAAATGTCCCATTACAAAAACATTTGAGTCATTGTTAGTGGATCATGATTTTTAAAGAAATTGGTGATTCAGATTAATGGTCTCAGAATACTAGTCTCTAACTAATAAAAACTAGACAAAACTATTTGAAAAAATTTGAAGCACCATACCCATTTCCACTCATGCAAACCAAAGGCGAATTATCCAACTGATACAAGTATCAGAATGTAGTCTCTCCAAAAGGGAAGAGAAAAGTCCGCTAGCCCTGTCTCTCACACAATGCAAGAATTCCCTGGCCAGCATTCTTCATAGGTAATTATTAGTCCTAATTTTGATTTGTCTGACAGAAAACGTGTTAGCATTTGATATAAGTAGTATATGAAATCACTAGGGAAAAGGTAGACTTTTTATTAAATGATGTTGAGATAAAGATGGAAAAAAATAAAATTGGATCTATTCCTTATATCATACACCCGGGTAAGTTCCAAATTGACTGAAGATTTAAATTATTTTTTTTTTCATGAAACCATATAAATACTAGATGGAAACATGGATTAATTTCTCTGTAATATAAAAGAGGAAAAAATTTTGCTAGCTAAGTAGCTATAATTATTTAAAAACTCGAGGGCGCCTGGGTGGCTCAGATGGTTAAGCATCTGCCTTCGGCTCAGGTCATGATCCCAGGGTCCTGGGATCGAGTCCGGCATCAGGCTCCCTCCTCGGAAAGGGGCCTGCTTCTTCCTCTCCTTCTGCTGCTCCCCCTGCTTATGCTCTTTCCCTCTCTCTGTCAAATAAATACATAAAATCTTTAAATAAATAAATAAATAAATAAAAATTCAAAAGCAATTAGGGAAAAAGACTGATAAGATTGACTGCGTAAAAGTAAGCTTTTACATGACAAAATCACCATAAGAAAAATGAAACCACAAATGACAAACTGAGGAAAAATATTTGTAATTTATATCACAATGAGTTAATAAACATAGTAACTAAAGGCTTGTAAAAATACTGAAGAAAAACCTAATAACCTTATATAAAACAACGGTCAAGAGATACGAGCAAAACACACAAAAAATGCAAATGGCCCTTAACATATGAGAACATACTAAAACTAACCCATAACAACAGAAGCCCAAATCAAAACTACAGTAAGGACCACTACCAACCCCCAACCCCCACCCCCCATCAGACTGGCAAAAAGCCAAAAGTTTGCCAATTTATTCCAACAAGGCTAGAGAGGAAATAACAGTCATATACATTGCTGGAGGAGGCACAAAATGATATAACACCAAGGAAGAGAATTTGACATAGAAATTCAACTTCTACCCTTTTCATTGCTTCATTATTTGAGGAAACAATCCAAATATCCATCATAGGGGATTTGTTAAATAAACTAGAGGACATTCACACAGTGGAATTATATACAACCGTAAAACAAATGAACAAAACCGGAATGAGGAAGATCTCTATATGTTGCTACGGAGTGATCGTCAGGATATATTAGGTGAAAAAAGTAAGGTAGGAAAAAAGTATGTTTAGGGGCGCCTGGGTGGCTCAGTGGGTTAAGCATCTACCTTCAGCTCAGGTCATGACCCCGGAGTCCTGGGATCAAGCTCTGCATCAGGCTCCCTGCTCAGTGGGGAGCCTGTTTCTCCCTCTGCCCTTCACCCCACTCATGCGCGTGCTCTCACGCTGTCTCTGTCTCTCTCTCTCTCTCTCTCTCAAATAAATAAATACAATCTTTAACAAAAAGAAAAAAGTATACTTAGCATGCTACTAATTATCTAACAAAGGGGTGTGAATACGAATATATAGATATTCGTTTATATTTTTAAATGGAAAAATAAGTCTTTTAAAAATTTACATTTACATCTGAAGGAGAAGTAACAAGAGTGGAGGGAACAGGACAGAAGCTAGACTTCTCTGAATATATCTTGATTTCAAAATCATAAATGTTTAACATAGTTTAAAGTGGAAATACATTTTTTTTTTTACAGATTTTATTTATTTGACAGAGAGAGACACAGCAAGAGAGGGAACACAAGCAGGGGGAGTGGGGGAGGGAGAAGCAGGGTTCCCGCCGAGCAGGGAGCCCGATGTGGGGCTCGATCCCAGGACCCTGGGATCATGACCTGAGCCGAAGGCAGACAAAGACTGAGCCACCCAGGCACCCCTAAAGCGGAA